TTAGATTAAGAGAAATTTACTTAAATAACATTAAAATATAATGACTTTCCCTAAATAGCACCACATGTGTTTTTCTTCCCAATGTAGCACTTTTAATCATTATGCATTAGTTATTATTCAAGTAAATATTCGCCAACACACGTCATTATAGACATTATTAAGTGCTATTTAAAGATTAAAACAATTTAAGTGCTACTTAGAGAAATGACTTAAGTTTTAGTGATATTTAGTGCAAATATTTCACATGGGCAACATTTTCCTGACATTGTCCGACAATGTCATAGGATAATCCAGAGGCACTCCAGTATCATTTTTGTAAAATTGACGATTCCTACTCCCTTAACCCCTCGATAAATCTCGCACCCCGACCCGACCCGTATACACCCATTCCCCTTTCAATTACATCCCTTACTGTTGGAGTTCACACATCGGTAAATAAAGATGAGTATCACTAGTATACTATATATAGAACGGTGAAGCCTTACCTATTAGCTTAAGCTTTTTTGGGTTAGAATTGTGGATCCCGACTTTATGTGTAAATAGATAATTTTACCCGACACTTTATCTGTTGTTCTTGCCCGCCAAAATTTTAACACCTACTACGTATTTTATAATTTTAATACCACGGAGTAAAAAAACATTAAGTGTAATTTTGTTACATACAAAACATATTGTAGTTATAACTAAGCATTTCATCTTTATGGCAACGGATCATACTATCGTAATATTTATCCATGTGATTGCCACCGTGCTCCCTCTGTCCCAAAAAGAGATATTTGTTATTGTTTACGAGATTTAACAAAATTAATTTCAAATTAATTTATTTAAAATTTTGTGAACAATTAAAAATAAAATTTTTAAATTTAAAAACCACAACAAAAGTTTTCAACACAAAAGGTGACAAAACCATTATTTTCTCAAATAGATCGCAAAAATGGGTCAAAAAATGGTTAAAATTTGATGTTGAGAGTAGTAAAATGTAACTTAAAATTGGAACGACAGGAGTAACATTTTTCATGTTTGATATGGGCATCAACATAAAGCATAGTACTTACATAGTTTTTTTTTTTTGAAGAATTTACAATTAAGTGATAACAAAAAATCTCATGTATATAAAACATATTATCCCTGTCACGAAATATTTGTCAAGTTTTGACTTTTTGAGTCAACTGTTTTTAAATTTTGATTTATAATTAAACAAAATATATATTGTGTATTTATTAGATAAAACAATATTTTGAAAATATTTTATATGTCAAATCTATTAAACTATTTTTGTATCAATATCTAATATCATTTTTATTTAATTTGAGGTCAAACTTTACCACTTTTGACAGAAAAGGTCATAAGTGAACAAATAGGGTGTACATATTTAAATTTATTCAAAGAAGTGTGAAACTATTCAAATAAAATAGGATGGACTGCATGACTAGAAAGCCAACCTTGTTCGAATAATTTGAGATGTATTCGAATAGTTCAGAACAAAGTTTAAAGCGCAGAAACGTAAACGCATTCGAATAAAACCAAATTTGTTCGAATATAAATTTGAAAAATGTTAATCTTTGAAAGGATTTAATAAAGAACTCAAAAATCATTTTTAAGAAAAACTTTTGGACAAATGGAAGATTTGGGAATAAAGAAGTGTGTCTTTCTCTATCACAAAAGTGCTAAGACTAAAAAAAGGATCTAAAATTTTTTTACATCTTCAAAACTTGACTTGATATCTTGAGCAACTTGTTAAGTACTCCAAAGCACCATTAAAAGAATCGTAACATGTTTGTCATTATCAAAACACAAGGGTAAAAAAATCATTCTTTCTTATATGCATTCTTTATTTCACAAAATTCAATCATAAACAATGAATATTTATTTTTTCTTAAATTTGTAAAATATAAATGAGTTAAATGTAATGTATGGATAAAGAACGTACATAATCTCTATCGTATTATATTCACTAGACTCGTACTCGTGCGATGCACGGACTATAGAATTAATTTCATTTAGTCATTATATGAAACTAGAATCATACCCGTACGTTGCACGGCCAAAAATATGCCTTGAAAATTATTAATTAAATTTTTTAAGTTATCTCACTGTAGTATATATTAATATATGTTTATACTTTGAATTGATAGTTATGAGATTATTTTTTACATTAAAAAACTGTAAGAAAAATGAGTACATAAGTCATTGCTAAAACATTTACATGCAGTGTTTGCATTGCATTGTTATCCCTAAGGATTATTGTAGAAGTAAATGATTCAATATAATGATTATTTTAATTAGTATACATAGAATAAAAAATTAAATTAATAAATTAAAACATACCTCAATGCACTTATTCGATTTGCAATTTCATTTTCTGTATCATATATATATAACTGAGCAAAATGGGGACGGGCTCCATTTAAAGGCAACAAAGAACCAATTCTATGATGGTTTCTTCCGCCAACTTTGTACACAGGTGGTGCTCTTCCAAAATTTAAATCTTTGTCAACTTTTCCAGCTATTGATGTAAACGAAAACATATAATTGTAAGATCTAATATTTGCCTAGAAATGCCTACTATCACGATCTGTATCATATATTAGATGTTTTAACAATGCCGGTGGGTCGTTAATTGGTGCAAGTACGATCTTTCCATGCTTGCAACACAAAGAGTATTTTGGATGTTTTTTACTTGATATTCCAACAACTCGTTCATCATACCAAAAATACGCCCCACATTTTGAGCATGTAAATGTTGGATCACCAATATCTAATCGCGTAACGTCACCAACAATTGAATTGTTTGTTCTCAAAGTATGTTCTACTATAGTGCTGAAACTATCAATTTTTGAATTGTCGTCATATTCATAATGATCTTCAACTTCCAGTTCGTTATTCGTTTCACCATCATGTACAAGTTCAAAAGACCAACACTGACGTAAATATTCTGTTACAAACACAGCATGTTTTGCTCGTGTTTCATTTGACGAAATCTTCATTGAGTGTGGGGTTTGAATTGCATCACTTGTAATTGTTGAACAAAGGTCACAATTTTGGGACGTGTGCAGATTTTTCAAAGAATTATGTGTACGACCTGTTAACGATAAAGATTAATTGTTTATTTTGTTTTAGAAGAGAATTGATAAACGGTTTTAAAACTTTTTACCAAGAAAATATTTTGTCTTAAAATCAAATAAACAAAATTTAATAAAACTTCGTCCCAAATCTCTTTACCGTTTAAAAAAATGCGTCTTGTAAATAATTTTTTATTATTTAAAAATTACTTTTATCTTTTACTTTTTCATATCCTATCTAGTATCTATCAAAGCATTTTTTATTATTAATCTATATATCATATTTTTTTTATACTTATGACATCATAGTCATTTTTGGAAAATCAAGACAAATTTATCAAAGTCATTTTTGGAATGGAGGAAATATAAATTATAAATTATAGTAAATTAAATGTACCCAAATTTTAGTACTCCGTAAATTACTACTCCCTCCGTCCCTAAGTGTTTGTCCACTTTCATTTTTGCACACCATCCAATGCACTTCTTTAATCCATTTTATCTTGTAATTTGTATATAAAAAATTATAAAAATTATATATTAATAATCTATATGTTAAGACGAATCAAACAAGATCACACATGACTATTTTTAGGCTTACACATTGAGATAATTTGATGAGTCAAAGTGCTTAGATGAACAGTTTCAAAAGTCAAAAGTGGACAAACACTCAGGGACGGACCAAATATTATATATTGATTTCAAATTTGATATTTAAATGTATTTGACTCAAAAAAGTTAAGATGAAGTAGGTGTAAGGAGGAGTAACATAAAAATAGAAACAAAGGGAATGAGTGACTAAAAGTGGAGGGGATCCCACCAAGCGGATTCATTTTCTCTCCCTCAACTTCTCTCTCTATCCCTTCTTTCTTTTTACTCTAGTTTTCTTAATCTTCATCACATTTCTTTTTTTAAAAAAAATTATTCTACATCGAAATTTTGATATCTCTTTGACACCATTTTGATGTTAAAATATAACTGTTTTTTTAAGTTCTCGGATTTTTAATTTTTTGAGATGTGAATAGGAATTTTTTTAGATCTGGTAGATCTATAACACTTCTCTGTAAATTTCATTTTTTAAGTGTTTAGATTTATTTTATTAATTCATTCTAGACATGGATATGATTTCGAACGTGTAGATCTAAAGTATGCAATTTATGTTTATAAATGTAATTTTTTTGGGGGCTTTTTTGATACAAATTCGAAAAATAGAGAAAAAACTTTTTAAAATAATGTAGATCTTCAACATCTAACATTCTTTTTCTGTAATTTTGTTTTTTTAAATTCCAGATTTGAATTTGAATTTGTTAGTTTAAAGTTAGAATTATTATGTAAATATATAAATTCCAGATTTTTTAAAACACGTTTGAGGTTTGATTTCTTCAATATTTTAATTGAATCTTCTGTAAACTATACGTTTGAGGTTTGATTTCTACACCTCTTTTTTTTTTTTGTTTTTTTTTTTGCGTTTTCAGATTTTAAATATTACGGAGTATTTTTTAAAAAAGGCATTCACTTGTTTCGGTAGGATAAAACACAATAGATTGAATTTGTCCTGAAGATCACTTCCTTAAATTCTGCATGTTATCAGTAAGGTATGATTTAAATTGTTTTTATCATTCTTATAATTTATGAATCTGTCTATATATATATATATATATGATATCAAAAATTTAACGAAGAAATAGTATATAAATTATACTATACCTTGACTTAATTCTGAATACTTTCTTTTTGTTCCACATATTTGTCCATACTTCGTTATTTTCTTCATATCTGTCTTACCAAAAAATTTGAAAAAATTTTCCTTTGTTTTTTATGCTTTTAGACTAATTTCCTAACTTCTTTTCTTCAAAAACCTGTAAAAGAAGGAAATATATTAGAAGTTAGTGATTGTCTTTATCAAATAAATATTAGTTTAATGTGTAATTTTATATTTGACTCAGAACAATGCATAAAAAATGACGCAGTATGCGGAGTTTTAAATGAAAGCAGATTGAATTAGTGGAGAAAACTGGTACGTAACCTGTGTTTTCTTTTCTCCTTGACCTGTGTTTTCTTCTGTTCTCTGAATTGCTTCTATTCGAAGTATAATGTTTTTTGGGATAAGTCACGTATATGTACGGTAGATATAAGGGATGAATTTATATTGGAAATACTTGAAGAAAATTCTAGATTTTGAATAATTTTAAAGATTAAATATGTACACCGTACTAATTTAATACTGATGGAATTCCAAAAGTTTTAGAGTTATTGTTAATTCAAACAATTATTGAGTTAGTAATCATTAAAGTGCAGTGACATGAAACGTTTTTTTTAATAAATAATCGGCTTTCTACATTTCCCAATAAATTTCAAAGATTTTATGTCATTAATATTTGAAATATCTAGAATTCTAGATGTTGAGGTGTACATGATCAATGCAACTATCATTATATTCGAAAGGTTTCTTTCATCATTAACACTCGAATTGTTTTCATATATTGAATAATTTTTTAATTTTTTTAATAGTTTACGAAAAAATATAATATTTCTGTAAATATCTAGAGCTAAAACTAATTGATATAAAAAACCTATATATTCATTTATTTTGGTTTTTATTGTAGTAAAAAAAATAGTTTGAAAAAGTATTACTTAATTCATTTATAATTTTTGTTAAAAATACAATTATTTTTATATTCAAATTGTATTCTTCGTTAAGCTAAGAAGTTAATGAAGAATTACATGGCTGTATTTTTAGTTCAACTATTAATTATCCTTGATTTTTTTTCATTATTATCTTATGCTCTAATTTATAGTTTAGTGATTTTAGTGTGTTTTTCGGGTGTAGCGTTACGTAATAAAAGGCATCCTCATACATTTATTTTATTATGTTGTACGAAATAAATGTTAAGTAAATATTTTATCTTTAAATTAAAATGAATTGAAAATAGATATATAAAGATGTCATTTTTCTATTAATTTTAATTTCTTAATAAAATAGGGGTAAGATTTTTTTAATTCTAAAAACAATGTATGGTAAGTATTTTTTTCCTGAAATGCGTATATTCATGGTTTTTTAGTGTATGGTTTTTACGAAGTATATATATTTTCTTTACATTGAAAATTTATATACGAACATGTAAAGTTAAACAAATGGTAGGAAGAAGTGATTACCTATTAGAGACTTGTCATCGAGCCATGTTTGATGTTGTAGATAATCAAATGTTGTAAAATCAAAATTGTAAACTGGAAAACTTGAGAGATTATGTTTCTTGCAGTGAGTTTGGTCATAAATTGCAACATATAAGGATGCTTAGTAGTCTAGTACGGAAGATAATTCTCCAGAACCAACACATTCATCAATACATATACTTCTCCTTCCTTGATGTAATCTTTGTACTTTACAATATGGCATTCTTTGATTTGAGCATGAATACGGGATCCTTGCACAAACAAAACGTATTTAGATTATGAGCTTTAAAGAAATATTATAAATTATTATTATTATTTTACTCCGTATTATTTTTATTATTATTGAAAAAGAAAATGCAAATGAAATACAAAATGCGCATGGAATAACCTCTTTATCATGAAATACAACATTCATTGTCTTTTCATGCTTCTCTGTATGATACACACGAATCGCCCTCAACCTCAAAATCCAATCCGTTCGGTTGTGGTTAACATCTAGTACAACAGAAAACATCTCTACCACCAGTTTGGAATGTAAAAGCAAAAAATAAGAATAACATCTAGATAGAGAGAATGTATTTATATTGGAAAATGCTCAAAGAAAATTCTAGAGTTTGAATATATGAAGAATATGAAGATGAAGATTGCCCTTTGGGCTCTGATTATAAAACCTATTTCTCGCCTTCTCCTCCTCACTACACTCAGTAAAACCCTACCCTACCGCCGTCGCCTCATCCTCTTCTTCTTCTTCTTCTTCCATCCAACTTCCCAGCAACGATGTCGGGACGTCCTCTCACCAAGCCATCAGGCCCCCAAACCTCTCCCTCTCTGGCGTCTCGGTTGTCGGTGCAAACCTCTTCATCGCAGCCTCAGTCGCCGGCGCAAACCTCTTCATCGCAGTCTCAGTCGCCGGCGCGAGCTTCTCCGTCTCCAGGGCGAACTCTTTCCCCGCCAGGACTTAAAATTTTGGAGTCTATCTGTTCTAAAGAATATAAAAAAAGAGCATTTGTTTGGGAAGTCATGGATGAGGGTACAAAGCTTCAAGAAATTAATGGTGAGTTCTTTCTTTAATTAATACGGAGTATAATTTTTCTTTCACATCTTATAAAAACCTAGCTAATGCATATCCTCTCCAAAGAATTTCGGAGGCTCACAAGGTTAGCATTTCAGGTTTTAGTCCGGTTCGGTCTAAACCCGATTCCCAATCAGTTTAGGCCAAAAATGCTAACTTTGTGAGCCTCTAAAATTCTTTGAACATGATATGCAGTAGTTAGGTTTTTATAAGATCTGAAAGAAAAATTATATTAATTAAAGAAAGAACTCACCATTGATTTCTTGAAGTTTTGTACAATCATCCATGACCTCTCAAACAAATGCTCTTTTTTTATATTTTTTAGAGCAGATAGACCCCAAGATTTTTAGTCCCGGCCGGGGAAAGAGTTAGTCTCGGAGACGGAGAAGCTTGTGCCGGTGACTGAGACTGCGATGAAGAGGTTTACACCGGCGACTGAGGATGCGATGAAGAAGTTTGCACCGGCGACCGAGACGCTGGAGAGGGAGAGGTTTGGGGCCGATGGCTTGAGGGGAGGACGTCCGGACATCGTTGCTGGGGAGTTGGATGGAAGAAGAGGATGAGGCGGGAGATATGTTTTATCCTCAGAGCCCAAAAGGCAATCTTCATCTTCATATATTGGTAGGAGGCTAAAATGAATAGTGTTCCCGCCGAAAGTTATTGGGTCGGATATGATGTATTGGGCCGGGTTATATTGTGGGATTCCATTACTGATTTATTTTGCTAAAAGTACAGGGACCAAAAGCAGTGCATGAGGTAATGGGTTGGGTTGTATTGTTAGAATATGGTGGCCGACAGCATTTTTCGTAGGACGGACGGCTAGAGAACTTTTTAGTGGATTTTTATCAACAGTAAAAATAGGGTGGTGGCCGCCTGGCCGTCTATTTGTAGGGTGGCTAGAAGACTTTTTTCGGCTGCTATACAACTTTTTTTGAGCCCAATTTACTATTGGACAATTAATGCTTTAGATTAAACAAATCTTACACTATCATGGCCATTTAATGCAAGGAACAGATTCAAAGACATCTATCAAATTAACCTTCTTTACCACAGGACTTCCGGCTTTTTTCTTTTTCAGGACAAGAGCCTCGTCACCGCTAGGCCAGAATGCCCTCACCAATGCATAATACATCATCGGCACCGCATCAACGCCAATGGAGGAAACAAGCTCCTCCGCACTAGTCTCTAGTAGCGTCTCTCTAGTGTGAATCACAGTGGAAGAATCTGGATTAACGTAACTGATGCAGTCCTGCCAAGTGCCAATGGCGAAGTGTATTCTCCCAAAATTTGATGAAGTCAAAAAAGTAAAGATATGGCTCCACATCCACCAGCCGCGGCTTCCCGTTTTGATATACACAGCGCTTACACCCATAGTACTTAATGAACCTAAGCTCCTTGTTCTTCTCCACCTCTTCATCATATTTAATAAACACAAGTTGCAGTTTTTAGATCTCCTGCACACATCTCTTTAGCAATGAGTGGACTAAACTTTTCAATCGTCGTTGGCTTCCCGTGAAATTAGAAGGGGATGCCAAAAGAGAAAAAGGAGAAAAAGATTAATAAGACCGTTATAGTATAGTAACCGGCACAATTAGGGTGTGTTTAGGCGTCAAATGTTTCTTCTTACTTTTGTATAGAGTAAGATAATATAATGGTAAATATAGTCTTGTGACATTTTTCTTACTTTTCTTCTTATATTTTTTTGCAAGAAACCTTTTCTAATCTTCAATGACTTATATTGTGAAAGCGATGTGATGCACGTCCAAAAAAGTTATGTGGACTTCCGGATAATGACGGGTGCGCAATACTTATTCCCATTGATGAAGAAGAACTCCACAATTATTGAGATTCACGACAATTTAAAGCCTTTGGGTACATTTATCGGGGTGATAAAACTGATAATCAACTCAAGACTTAATGAGTTGACGGTCACGCAAGGCGTTTCTAAGGTTGTGGATTAGTTTTTTGAATTGATTACTAATGCTTTGACAGTGCGTTAGGAGAAATACTTATGGTAAGGAATGATTGAATTTTACGTGGAGTAATTTTTTTCCTTCTTGTTTTTATTTCCTAATTCTTTTATTATGACATAGGTACTTGTGCTATTTTATAACGAAGAACCTCATCGTATACGATCTCGATGACATGGTTTGGTTTGTGAGGAAATGCCCACACCTTCCTCACAAACCCAACCATGTCATCGAGATCGTATATGATGAGGTTCTACGTTATAAAATAGCACAAATACTTATTGTCATAATAAAAGAATTAGGAAACAAAAACAAGAAGAAAAAAAATTACTCCACATAAATTTCAATCATTCCTTACCGTAAGTGTTTCTCTTCACGAACTGTCAAAGCATAAGTAATCAATTCAAAAAACCGATCCGCAACCTTAGGGACGCCTTGCGTGACCGTCAACTCATTAAATCTTGAGTTGATTATCACCGTGATAAATGTACCCTAAAACTTTAAATTATCATAAATTTCAACAATTGTGGGGTTCTTCTTAATCAATGGAATAAGCACTGCCCACCCGTCGTCATCCGGAATAAAAAAGTCCACAAAACTTTTTTGGGTGTACATCACATCGCTTTCACAATATAAGTCATTGAAGATTAGCTAAGGTTTCTTGCAAAAAAATATAAGAAGAAGAAGTAAGAAAAATGTCACGAGACTATGTTTTTACCATTATATTATATTACTCTATACAAAAGTAGGAGGAAACATTTGACGCTAAACACACCCTAATTGTGCCGGTTACTATACTGTTACAGTCTTGTTAATCTTTTTCTCTTTTGGCATCCCCTTCTATTTTCACGGGAAGCCAATGACGATTGAAAAGTTCGATCCACTCATTGCTAAAGAGATGTGTGCAGGAGATGAAAGGGCAGCTTGTGTTTATTAAATATGAAGAGGTGGAGAACAAGGAGATTACGTTCATTAAGTATTATGGGTGTAAGCGTTGTGTGGATCAAGACGGAAGCCGCGGCTGGTGGATGAGGAGCCATTTCTTTACTTTTTTGACTTCATCGGATTTTGGGAGAATACACTTTGCCATTGGCAGTGCATCAGTTACGTTGATCTAGATTCTTCCACTTTGATTCACCCTAGAGAGACGCGACTAGAGACCATTACGGAGGAGCTTGTTTCCTCCATTGACTTCATCGGGTTTTTTGGATTTTTTGGAAGCCATGAAGATTGTCAATTTTGCTCTTTTTAAAACCTATTGACATTATAATGCCAAAATGTGGTTGTCTTCTTTTTGTTGTTGTTGTTGGATGATCATGGGGTGTACACTTTACTCTCATGCCCCTCTTTGTCATTGTTTTTTTCATTTATTCCTCTTTTTTGAACTTTGAAGACATTATTCTATAATTTCTATTTGTTTTGAAGAATATTAGTATTATGATAGGTTCGGACCCGTTGACCCGTGGAATCGGCCCGTTTCAAACAAGTCGGGTTAGGTCCGGTTCCAATTTTAAAATTTTGAAACCCGTTCCGGCCCGGACCGTTTTAATAAAAACAAGCCGAGTCCGGTTTATATAAATTTGGACTCGGACCGGCCCGTGCCCACACCTAGATATATATGTTGTTTTTGCAAATGGTTGGGCATATTTCTTAAGGGTCTTTCCATGGATACGTTTATTGGTTGTTCGAAGAGAACACTTTGCTGAAAACTATGAGTTTGAGAGGTTTGTTTTGGGTTTGATTTGAGATATGGATTTGGACAGTTACTGTTGGAAAATCAGCTTGGGTTATGGCCAACTGCTTTCTAATTTGAAGGCAGATCAATTTGAAAGCAGATTCTTAGGAAGATAGGTTAGGCAGATTAGCTTCCTGGTTGAGCTGTTCTGTTGTGGCTTTTTGTTTCATAACAAGGGAATACTGTTAGGTTGCATATGCGCTTTGATTATTTGGTCTGCACTTTAGAAGGAAATACTTGAAGCAAATCTGTCAAAGAAGCAAAAAATAAAGTTCAAGTTCTTTCTTCCTCTTTACTTTTTTTTAGCAAGCAGGTGCGTAGGCTGATTCCTACTCTTGGTATGTGATCCACTGAGGTTTTCAAGGTCTTCAACAAAAGTCCTAGCTTGAACACAACACAAGGAGATGAGAGAATACCATGTGAAGATCTCTAGCAGGTTAAGTAGTGCTCAATATCATTTTTATTTTGTGTGAGTAGTATGTAGATGAAGAACATTACTGTGCTCAATATCATATTTATTTTGGGCGAGTGGTATGTAGATGAGGAATATTACTAAAGAAGACTCTTTGCACATACTCCATCAGAGCAATGGGTTTTCTACAAGGATTTCAAGGTACAAAGGAGTTACACCACCCAAATGTGGAAAACGTGAGGCTAGATTGGGTCAATTCCTTGGGAAGAAGTAAGATGTTATTTCCTTCGTTGTCATCATAATATCCTACAATTTATAAGCTTTTAAATAATGCATGTTCTTATTGGTTAGCTTTTCATCTGCATTTTTTGTTTTCCAATGTTTTCACTGTCCATATTTTTTGCTTTCCAATGTTTCCAATTTGTTGTTCTCTTTCATTTTTCATAGGCCAATGATGAAGCTACCCTATCGGTCATCAGAATCTTGCAACCTGCAAATCCATCTGCTTTATTTTTACCCTATCAATCCCATTTGGTGGATTCAAGCCTCAAAAGCCATGATGGACTTGCCTGTGATATTAAATTTTACAGCAACACAAACTCACAAAGGATTCAACATTGTTAGGGTAACACCAATAACTGGCTATGTGAAGTTTTAAATATCATGATATTGAGGATTCTCTTCCTTGCAGTTTGCACCCTTTTGATTTTGATGAGCGTANTCATCTGCATTTTTTGTTTTCCAATGTTTTCACTGTCCATATTTTTTGCTTTCCAATGTTTCCAATTTGTTGTTCTCTTTCATTTTTCATAGGCCAATGATGAAGCTACCCTATCGGTCATCAGAATCTTGCAACCTGCAAATCCATCTGCTTTATTTTTACCCTATCAATCCCATTTGGTGGATTCAAGCCTCAAAAGCCATGATGGACTTGCCTGTGATATTAAATTTTACAGCAACACAAACTCACAAAGGATTCAACATTGTTAGGGTAACACCAATAACTGGCTATGTGAAGTTTTAAATATCATGATATTGAGGATTCTCTTCCTTGCAGTTTGCACCCTTTTGATTTTGATGAGCGTACACATGTTACTCTATCTTAATATGTGTGAAATTAATTAGTTATTGTAGTGATTGAAATTGGATGGAGGTTGCTTCAAGTTATCCTTATGAAGAATTGTGCGTGAATGTGTTGGTATGGTTTTTTGTTAAGTTTCTGTGTGCTTTAACAAATTTCTATACTGTGTTTAATAGAAGTGAGTTGTGCCCTAAAAGAGATAGTTTGGTATGCAGTTGGTAGAGTACAAAGGTGAATTGTTATTGTGTACTTAAAACCTTTGGTACGATTAGAATTTGTGATTTATGTGTTGTGTGCAAAGGTAAGCTTTTGATTTGGTTGTACAATAGATGGAAAACTGAGTTTAACATATTTTCATTAAGGTTTTTTTTAGTTTAAGGGCATGTTTTGTTGAACACTTGAAATGTTTAGTTGGATGAAATGACTTACATCTGTGCCTTTTTCTAAAATAAAATATTTTGTTACTTTCATTTCAGCAAAACACATAGCTAACTGGCCCATTATCTTTTGGAAGCAAATTAGCTTGAAGTGTAGGGGCAACACCCATATGCTTTAAGTTGTAAAGATGCCTCTCTATTTCACTTTTTAGATAGTGAGGCATTAAATTCTTATCTCATTTCACTCAACTCAGCTCAAGTTTTGCCTTGCACAAATGTTGTGCCCCTACACACACCTAATATACCATAACAAACTACAAATATTACTTGCACATAACCCAAGCCCGGGTAGTTATTACTTTATGACAGTGTTTCCAATTGCTTATGATAGTGTTTCCTACTCTTTTTTTGTATTTCTTTCGAAAGTAATTCCAAAAAATATCAATTAAATTTTAATTTTCTTAGTTGGATGTGGCATAATTAAATTATTACTCCATATCTCGTATATAAATAAATTTCTTCAAAAAACTCAAGCATAACTAATACTGTGTTTTATTTGTGGACGGAGGGAGTAGTTTATAAAAAAGTTTTTCAAAATTTCTAAGTCATAAGATATTCATGTTTTAAAATAATGAAAAACGTTATATTTCATCATATGGTCTAAATTTTTGTTTCAATAATAACACAAATATATTTTCATAACGTAAATACGAGTCATGCAACACACAGATGTGATACTAGTTACCTCTCTAATTTACGTTAAGTTGCATCCCCGATAATGCATTGCGTTAATTAATACTTCATTTCTCATTGAACATCATGCCTTCCTATTTTCAGTTGTCATAGTAACTTATCATTTTAATTAAAAAAGAAGTGAGTAGTTTATATTACTGCACAAGTTCACATTAAAAGGATGGAGTCATGGTGACTATAATTGTCTCCTAACATGTATAGTCTCTAATTGTCAAGAATCGAAATCAAGTATACTTAATCAATTCATTAGTTGTTAATAATGAACTCTGTTAAACCTCTTTTAACACCTCTCTTTAACTTGTGTCACGCTTCTCACAATTAATACTGACGTTAAATTAAAGGATCATGTTACAGTCACACCAGGGTTCATACTAAGATTGACGTCGTCAGTGTTTTATAGATAATACTCCCTCTATCCCAATTTATAATGTGTGTTTTCTATTCACAGGATCAAACTTCATTCACTTTCTTTCTCTATTTTCGTTAGTTTTATAGATAATACTCCCTCTATCCCAATTTTCGTTACTTTCTTTCTCACTTTCCATCATCTCCGATGGAGCCAAAATTTCACCATTTTTTGGCTTTGGGGTGTGATGGAATAAATCAAAATGGATCTCTAAACTGTCTGTGCTTCTTTAATTAATGAAGTAGCAGTTAGTCAAGCAATGCAACTTTCGACGTTGAGCCGGGGGTCTCTTTGGAAACAGCCTCTCTACTTTCGAGTAGGGGCAAGGTCTGCGTACACACACCCTCCCCAGACCCTACTCTTGTGGGATTTAACTGGGTTGTTGTTGTTGTTTTGATAAAATAAAGTACTATTGTCACTACTAGTTTTATAGATCTTTTGATGTAGTATTTTAATATGTAACTTTTATTTTTTAACTCTATACCATTTGTCATATAAAATGATTTGAAAATAAATTCAGTTAAACATCGTAAACCGAAACAGGCAATATAAATTGGAACGGAGGAAGTAATTGTTTTTAAAATGAAAAATGGAAACATATTATATTATATACACGACTCTCTATGGTATCAACATCCTCATCCCTTCAATTAAAATACTCCCTTTCCCTAAATTAATTGTCTTAATTTAACTTTACAAAATTGAAGAATTTTTTTTTTAAAAAAATACAAAGTAAGGGGAAAAGACTAAAATATGAGTAAAACATTAAAAATATACCAAAATAAGACTTCTATGTTTTTATTTTTCAAAATAGGAGTTAAAATAAAATTTCATTACCAAAACGTATAGTAGTATACACATGTACAGTGTTAAACTATCACAGCGTGAACTCTTATTTAAGGAATAAAAATATGAAACATCTACTTTGGTACTTTTTCTATGTTTTACTCATATTTAGGTTGATTTCTTACCGAGTAATTGGTGAAACTTTATTTAGGAAAAAAGAAAGAAAGATCGTGTATTATGAACTTTTCCATAAATTTAGAAAAGTGAAATTCCTAATACTCAATCTAAAAAGAAGTGCACATATTATTTACTCTATTATACGGAGTATAAAATAAGGTACAGAGTAATTCTTTTGGAACAAATTCAAAAGCCACATTTTTTTAAAAAAAATAAAATTTACAAAAGGCCAAAACTCTCAAAAGGTGCAGAATTTCTTATGTGCAGATAGGAAGTAGGACGTCTTTGGTGAGTGAGACCATATGACTTCGGATATATTCGATATCAAATTTAATGTTTGATATCGAACACGTTGTGATACGAAATCTCTCTATTTCCGAATGGGACGCACTTCTTCCCTTCTTTGTTCATAAAACTCGATTCTTCATCTCCGGCTGATGCTTAACAATCTCGCGATCTTTTTCATTCCCAGCTTCACCGCCTACTTCCAATGAGACGCAGGCCGAGATCATTGCCTAGAACCAATACCAATAGATATATCGTTTTGCGTCAATATAAGATTGAAGAGGACTTGTCAATATTCTTTTGCTCACACTAAATATTTGCCTTTTTTCAGGTCCAAACTCCAAAAAAAAAGTAGAAACGACAAAAGTATAATCAATACCCAAATCCGAGTTCTGACAACAACAATAAAGGGCAAAATTCGTAACACGGGCTCACCTAAACCATAGACAAATTTCATTCTTAATTTGTCATACTACAGAGCTGCAATTATAGACTCAATATACAACAATGGTTAGATATGGCATTTGCTATCTACACATATACATTCAGTTTCACAGTATATATCTTGTGGATGGGCCAACCACCTCTAGTCACACCTTATATGAAGTATTATCGCATACCGGAATTTTTTTGAGCCACTTGGAATATGGCTTAAAAAAGGACTACAATACAAATTCATAATAGAAGACAAAAAGAAAACTCAAGTGTTTAAACGTCAAGAGGAGGGTTACGGTACACATATAAACCAACATAGGCCTACTAGAACGGTAGAGCTAGACGACAACAGTTGGAATATCAAAAGTTTGAGGGGATTCGATGAATTTTCAAATTCAATGGAGAAATGCAACTACAACACAGCATGCGATATCTTCACCAGAATAAAATTTGAAGTTCAATATGGGTAATGATCAAGGAAAATTACAACTTGAAGACGGACACTGTGAGCGTTAGAGGAGATAAAGTCAAGAGAATGCTTCTCCTCACCGAATGCGGACCCCATCACACGCATGTTCCTTCTTCTCATGTCCGAGATCTCTCACGCGAACGGCTGCATTCCCACATCATAACATGAGCCATTTGAAAATTACATGCACAGTAAAATCCCATAAAAATAGGGTCTAAGGAGGGAAAAGCTTACCCCTACTTGAAAGTAGGTACACCAAAAAGGCAATGGCACTTATATGTCAACCAGAGCCAGTGGCTCTAAAATCGTTCCAGAAGGATATAATCAAATGATGAGTTAATACCCCCAAAAACAGTCTCTGCCCTATGCAGGCAGGAGTAAGGTCTGCTCCCCCCCCCCCCACAAAAAAAAAAACCTGTGGTATTTTATTGGGTAGTTGTTGATGAGTAACCCAGTTTAGTTACCCACAAAAGGGGCTATCTTTCAGGGACCCGATTTGTTCCTCCAATATGTAACTTGAGCCCAACTCACATCTCATCCATATTTAGCTTAAATAAAAAGGGTATTTTTCATCAATTAACTAAATATGGACCAATAATAGATGTCAGATTTGGTCCCCATCTATGCATATTGGAACCAATTTAGATATTCACTGGGAAAATTGCCCTTCATAAATAGACTAAAGTATGTCTGACAACTAAATTGAGTAAGAATTGCATATAGCCAAAGATCAAATTCGGTAATAATATATAATTGAGTATTGTATACTATAAAAAAAACATATGTAATATTTCTTTAAAAAGAGAAAGTGTTGCATTAACCTGCGGTATCTGTCGTTCCCAGGGCTTTGCTGCAACTCTCCAGCCTCAGGACTTTCCCTGGGTGGTGGGATTGGTTTCCTGGAATTTGGAATAGATCCTTGTCCATAATCAGGGCTACCCCTGTCCCTACGATATGGACTTGGGGAACGTCTGCGATCATATCCTCTTCTGTCAGGGGAGAAGTCATGCCCTCTTCTATCTGGACTGTAACCATTTCTTCTGTTATCATCATCTCGAATTGCAAATTCCACCGATATTTCTTGGTCCATTAATGTGCTGTGTATTGGTCATAAAAATATCCAAAATCAACAAGACCTTTAGTTCTTTACGCCCTTCTGGTTTTTGGAAACAATAAAAATGCATCCCCAAAATAGATACAAGAATGCTCTCATCCTAGTAACATCTAACTTTAAAATGCATAGAGATCTCAGAAAATCATAAAAAATGCAAAAAAAATTGTTATGGAAGATTATCTTCTTCGGTTTGGATTTACATTGAAGTATGAAGCACAATTTTATACAGCACATGAAAATGAACTTAAGAAACATGTAAAATAAAGTAGTTGGGTTTAGGAAATCTTTTATTTTCCCTTACGTTGTCTTTCCAACAATTCTTTCTAAACACTTTCCGAGTTCCAAATGAGCCTTAAAGTTAGTAATTTACCATTGTATTAAATTCATACGTAGTAAATGAGAAATAAAAAGACAAATATTCATCAAAATCCCCTAACAAACCTCAAATGTGTCGCCTCCAGCGCCCTAATGGCATCATCTTCAGATTCATATTGAATAAAAGCAAAATTCCTCCTAATCCTGACATTCAGTAGCTTCCCATATGGTTCAAAATGCCTCTCTAGGTCCCTAGTCCGTGTGGCAGGGTCAAAGTTGATCACAAACAATGTTTTTGAAGGTCGAGCTGATGATCTCCTTTCATTCCTGTCAGGCTTCCTGGAACCACGTTCTTGCTGCAACAAAAAAAAATAAAGAGCATGTGCAACTCTTTATACCATCAGAAAGGGTGTTTGGGTCCCAAAAATGCTAGGTAAAAAAATGTGATCAAGAAAGTAATTTTCCTATGTTTAGTTTTACTTCTGAAACATGCAAAAGATAATGATCAAGTTTTTCAATTTTTTTATTAAATATACTTAGATTTAGACATCTTTTTCTGATTAAAAAAAGAAAACTATGACTTTGAGCAAATCTCAAAAATTAAAAAATAAGGATTCAGTTAATCTTTTAATTTTCCAAATATGTTCAACAATTCGAAGTTTTTCCTCTCTTTTGTCTTTTCAGAGTATTTTCCAGGTTAGAAACAGACCCATACAGTTCGACTACTTGGACTTCAAACGGGACTGTAACAGCCACAAAATCTCTTGGTTTTTAAGACCAAAAAATTGGAGCCAAGAACATTAATGACCAGCAGACCTTGCTCCACTCCACACTTAGTCTTCGCCGCTTTCTACCAAACTCAATCCTGTCAAGTCTTCTGATTGCATCTTCAGCATCGCGTTCATCTTCCATATAGATAAACGCAAAACCTATAATTCCAAAAATGTTAGGGTTCAATTGGATGACAGAAAATGCTAGCAAAAGAAAATACGGAAGCATATGCAGGGGAAATTGAAGGAAAGAAAATGTAGGAGTAAAATTAAACATATGCTCAAAGTTCAAACTCAAGAAATTTACTTTTATGCCCATTGCCAATGGAGATAAAAGAGTTGTAACTGATAAATTTCAGTTTACAGTAGATAAGATTAGATTAAAATGGCACGTTACACTTCCCATCATACTTTAAATAAAGTTTAGGTTAGTAAACACAGCAATGCATCAAGGGTCTAACAACAAAAATCTCTCGGTTAACAAGAGGCATAAGGTTGCATATATTTTAACCCCAAGACCCAGACAGAGTTGAGATTATCCTCGGTTGTTGTTGACTTGTTGTCGTCATCGTCTTATATACAAACTAAGGAATCTAATCATATGCCAGATGCATGGAAACATGACAAACATCTACAATACTGCGTCCGTCCCAAATTTAAAGGGAAAGTTTGGTTTACAATGTTTGACTAAATTTGTTTTTAATTCAATTTATCTCAAAATTGGTGTAGAAATAGAAAATTAAAAATTAAAATTACATATTTAAAAATGCATTTAGAGACCTATACAACAAAAGGTGACATGAATATTTATTATTTTATCAAATGAGTAACTAAATAAGCAAAGAAAATGAATAATATTTGACCATGTGAATAGTGTTTACCCATTTTATTTTTGGACGGAGAAAGTATTTTTTATTTTCCTATGCATTTTCCACGGTAAAAACAAACACAAATTATTTTTCCTTGCATTTTACACTTCCCCTGGCATTTTCAGTGGTCCAAAGTTCAAACAGGCCCTTAAGGATCAATACAGTATATTGATCAGGTTTCCAAATACCCATAAAAAATACTCCGCAGGTCAAAATGTTTCATTTTCAACACACTTGACTACAAAATGCTAAATATCAAACTCACCCCTAAAACTCTCAATGATCGGAGGGTGGAGAGGAGAAGAGGAAAATGAAATTTCTGGATTAACTCAAGAGCTGCAACAGGATCCAAGATGCTCAAGCTATTTATGCTGAAACAAGTCAGAAATTGACATGATTGAGCAAATTCATGAAGAATGCTAGGGGCGGTGGTCTGAGGAAAGTGTGTGATGGTAGGAGCATAGCAGATCGGAATGATTCCCTGAGATGGACATAAGAAACACAGAATATATATCAGAAATCGAGATTTAGTTGAGCAGATCCTGCCACAGTGGTAAAGACATAACCCAACAACAACAGCCTAGTAAAATATCCCAGGTGGGGTCTGCGTAAGGAGGTAAAGACGTAACCCATTTCTATATAATACCCAATTTATCTTTTATCTAATGATTAGTGAGAAACAACTGACTAGGAAAATATGATGTACTTCATCCACACTCCTAATGCCTTAAATAGTTAAAATATTTAAATCTTAATCCCACACAAGCACAACTTACAACTGCTCTGCAATGCGTGTCTTCTTGATCATAATTAATGACTCCGCTAAATCCCCAAGGCACATACCAAAAATAAACAGATCGCAAACCTAAACATAAGATAGGACGTGCTGGATTTGTGGCGGGGTTTATAGGATGTGAGATGGAGGGCAACAGCTTGGGATTAGGTTGTTATCGGTATTATTTCCAAAGTTAGTGTTGGTGGTGGAAAGTGGTCTATGAAAAAAAGCTTATAACGATAAGCACAACTGTTATGATACTCCACCTTTTCAACTCTCGAATGTCCAACAATGAAAATATAGCAATACAGGCAAATCAAACTAAAAATACTCCGTACTTCACAATTTCCACCGAGTCACTTATCACAAAAATAATACTGTGAAATAATATTTTTCCCCATCCCAAACATTCTCATGCTTCTTTGACCATAAGAAAGATGCAGTAAAGACCTAGCGAAGCAATCACAATAGCATTGCACTATAAAAGGCTTGCAAATACAACTGACAGACTTGATGTAATTTGAGCAGTTTGATCTCAGATGACCTTTTTTTAATGGGTGGCGATGAACGCACGACTATTAGCCCCTGAAAATAAAGTCATCCCGCAAGAATAATGCAGAAAAAACAGATGGAAAAACAAAACCTGATGAAAAAATAATCTAAGACTTAACAGATGGAAAAGAAGAAATGAAATTCCACAGCATACCCGACTTCAAATCAACTCTTTCAACCCTTCCATATTTTCGAAATAGCCGTTCCACATCTGACTCTCGAGCATCAAAATCCAGGTTTCCACAAAAGATAGGCTTCATTTTGCAATGAATAACCACTCAACAGCTCTGTCCCTGAAATCAATAACATCTCATTTTATCCAGGCTTCAACACCATATCACCAGTACTTCGATTTCCTAGTCCATACCACTACACATTTTCAACGCAAAAAACGTAAAATCCAATTTCTGATTGCGTTATCCGAGTCGAGCACTAAATGGATTGACTAGAAATGGAATCTCTCGTTCAAAAAAGTCTTGAACCGATCGTATCTAAAGATGCCGAGATTCAAGATCATTCCAGAGAGTGATCATCAATTGCGAGAGAAAGAGAGGGCATTTGCAGCAGCGTACCTTTTCCGAAGAAGATGGTGAAGCAGGGCGAGCGAGCGAGCGAGCGATCGTCAATCCTGATTCGAAACCCTACCGTACGACGGGCTAGGTTGACGACGGCGCATCCTTAACGGGTACGAGCTTCGTAAATCGTAATGATCGATTTCGGGGAACCGGCTGGTTGATTTTTGGGCTTTTAGTACCTTGGCCCATTTGTTAACGTTTTAGGCAAGTTTTGTGACTTTTGTCTTTGTTTGCATATCTTTTTAGAATGTTGCTAAATCCATCTTAATTTTAGCTATATTCACAATTTTTTGCTAAAATAGAAAAATTTATTCAAAAAAAAAATATTAAAAAGATGAGATGCATGTGAACATACCTAAAGGCAAACTTGTTTATATATCATAAATGGTATGAATTTAGTCATATGAGATATAAATTTACAAGGATAAAAGGAATTCTCTATCAATTAGTGATAACAATGTCTAAGCTTTATAGAGCGGGGTGTTGGGCCATTAAGAAGGCTCATTGCACATTCGTCAACTGTACGCAGAAGAGATGAGGCCGGTGGTCCAGTAACGGGTGGGAATGACAAGGTTGAGATGGTTTAATTTAGTCACGTGAAGTGGTGTACCGTTGAGACCCTGATGCAGAGATACGAGAAACTAATTATTGTAGGCGGGAGTGGATGAAGAGGTAGACCTGTATGGGAATTAAAATAAGAAGAAAGTTATTGGACAAAAATTAGGACTTCTCACCATTATCGAAGATATGACATTAGATATGAGCATCTAGAGGTTTGGGATGTTTGGACCTAGATTTTTTTGCTAGAGTTATTTGTGTGCCTTTAATTTTGCCTCCTTCAACTCTTCTTAACTCTAGTTGCTCTTTATTTTTCTTGAATGGTATATGCTTTTTTTTGTCTGAGCTTTGATATTTTGAAAATAGTTCTCTACTTTAATTCGGGATAAGGTCTATGTATATACTTTCTCCCTAAATCGTACTTTTGTGCAATTCTACCGAATTGTTGTTATTATATTGTTGCAAATTTATTGAGATGAGTTCATATATGGGGGGGGGGGGTCTTATAATAGATATTCATGATATAATTCTTTTTTTTTCTGATTGATGAAACACATAGGAGACATAACAATAAATTATAAGTACGTGGGAAGACAGGTCAATATTGGAATCAAAAGTTTTAGATTAAGCAAGACCAAGACCGAATACATAAAATGCTAATGCTTTAGTGGTAGCCCAAACAAAGTCATTGAAAGTGGATCGGAAGTCAAGACATTTCACATCGAGTGTCTCAAAGAGTCTTTCTTGATTTGATTTTTTGTTAAATTGTAACACTCTTACATGGGTGGCCCGGAGAGTGTGCAAGGTGGCCACCCATACAGGGTCCCCAAATTTTTAGAGCCCAATATTGTTAGATATTTAGTATTTTAATTATTTGATATTTCTAAATTCAATATAGATTTATATTGTTTTATTATTCAAATTGTTATAAAAGTAGTTTTTACAAATCAACTTTAGCTCTACTTTTAAAAGGACAAATACTCCTGAAAAAATAAAATAGGGCTCAACACGTGATACCAAAATAATTTTATTAGATTTATTATCATAAATATTTTCAAAATATTATTTTACATAATTAATTTACAATATATTTTTTATTTAATTATAGGTCAAAGATTAAAATCGATTAACTAGAAAAAGTTTAAACTAGATATATACGGAGTACATGATATGCCCGTTTCGTTTTCTTTGTTAGAACATTAGAATACACAAAGCATTGGATACCATAACGCAAATGCAAATCTAGAATATATTGGTCGGTAGATGTTGAAGGGGACAAGTTTTTATTTCTGAGGCTATAATATTATTTAATTAATTATTTGTTTGTTTACATTATCAGTAATGAAAAATTTGCCCATGCATGAACGAACCATAACTCACTCCGTAATGGCGTAATATATATACGGACTACTCGTATATTATTAAAGGAATAGTTATGGAGGACAACAACAGTTTTCATCATTTTTATATATTATTGATCAATAATTATTTGTTAATTAATTATTACTACCTTCTTCTAAAAAACATTTCCAATTTGAATTTCATGACGATTAAGCTAGCTAAGAAAATGATTGCTTGCCCATATTTATTTTTGACATCGTATTACAGGTTTGGTTTAGAATCAATCATATGAAGTTGATGAATCCCTAATATTCTTATACCCTTATTGGAAAATCTAAGGTCTAAATATTAATGATGTGAGCCTTGTAATAACAATGAAACAATAAGAATATTAGAGTAATTAAATAGTAAAAATGGATCACACACAAGAATTGAGGTAAACGTAATCGGTGTCCCCTTTTCTAAGCCATCCGTCTTAAGATTGGAATATTCTCAAGAAACACCGGAATATTAATTATTACTCTGTATAAAGCTTCCTTCCCTCAAGTTACAAGGTGACCCTGGCCTCAAAGGTATCGCAACTTTGTTTATATAGGAGGCCTCCATAATCACCATCCTATCAATATATCTTTCAGTGGTTGAGAACTGATCAGGGAGACCTCGTTCTCCTTCCTTGATATTCTCATCCACTCTAAGTCGTTAAAAGTTAAAAATGGATCAGTGTACACATATTTTCCATCCATTTGTCTCAAAACGTGACAGGAGGACATTTGCCCACTTCTTTAGAGGAGGCGCTGCCCTAATCTCATGGAGACGAGCTGTCTCACGACTCTCACTCATAATTTGTGGGAATGTTTTGGGGAAGTGAAAAAAATGAAAGAGAAAATGAAAAGAGTATTGCATACTAATATCATATGGATTTTTTATTGAAATATTTATTTTGTATTTAATTAATGATGAAATTCAACTAATAACTTAAAAAATGAAATTGATCGAATCAATATAGTTGGACGAGGGGATCGGAATATACACATACCTACATTATCATTGTCCAACATCTTTCAACAACACATAACGGGTCTTTAAAAATTACCGAGTATATTAAATTAAATACTCCCTCTTTATTAAAAGACTTTTTATTTTCTTTTAGTAACGTTCTGAAAAGCATCATACTCCGTATTTTTTATGAAAAACTTTGAATAATTCACAATCTTTATCTCATATGCATCACTTTCAACCATACATTTTCACTTTTCATAAACTTTGTGCAAGTCAAACTGAAAATCTTTTTTATTAAACATAGGAATATAATTAATAAACAATTTTCCAAGATCTTAAATTTATTAGTGATAAAAAAACCAATTAAACAACTCTTTATTAATGAGTAACGGGATTTGCCAATATTATTAGCAAAAAAAAAAAACAATTCTATATACATAGAATATATAGAACGTACATACCATGCATGCACCTACATGATCTTTGTCCTCCTCACCGGTGGCTTGTGATATTTAGTCCATTACACTTTTAATATACAAAGCAACTAGCAAGTAGTTCCTGTGTCCTATAAACATGTTTTCATTTTGACTTTTACAAAATTTAAGAGAGTGATATTTTTTGTATGGGTTTTTCAAAAGTATTCTTGATGTTATGCTTAAAAGTAGAATGTGATACATAAATTATTAGTAAAAAAACATGATTTGATAGAAAATAGAATGATTTTGTGGGACAAAAAAACAAAGACAAAGTATAATATAATCCACCTCTCATAATTAATCATGTTTAAACTTTTCTTATTTGTCCATAACAAATTAAAAAATACCCGTACATTTCTCTCTTTTCATTTAATTTTTGAAAAAATTATCCATAATGATCCCGATATTTAATTACTCAATCTTTCAAAAATAATCCAACCTTTCTTTTTGATGCATAATAATCTCAACTTTACTGAAATTTGCGAGTTTTGGGTCGCCGCTAAATTGCTAACGGCGGTTAACGAAAATAGCATGTTTTGCGCAACAAAATGAAATTAAAGTTGAGATTATTTTTTTTGAATTTTCATTTTTGAATTTTTTTGAAATTTTCATTTAAATTTTTAAAATTACTTCCTACCTCCATCATTTCTTTTCATTTTTTGAAAAATTAGTCTTAGTTTAAAAAAATAAAAATAATAGATATAAAGAATAACGAAAATGAGAAAAGTAACTAAAAAGAGACAAAATTAATAAAATAAATAAGGTAATCAATAGAAGGTGATTTGAAACTGATAAGAAATAGAAAAAAAATATACGGAGTGGTGAGTTTTCATAATTTAGGAACTATGCAAAGTATTAATGTACGGGCTCTTCTTTTTTTAGAAAAAATTATCTCGAACAATTTCAACTTTATCGACCGGCCTGCTCTTTCAAAAAAAATAAGTTATACATTAAGATTCTGTATATTGCGTAAAGTGTTAAAACCCATCACTTCATCTGTATTTATTTTATTTCTTACCAGTTTTTATTTAATTTCTAATGATTATTTATTGAGTAAATTCAATAATTGATCCTTTATAACATGGGGGTTTTCATATTTAGTCCTCTATTATCAAATATTACCCTCGTGGTCCTTTTTTTAAGGGTCCCTTTCCAAAAATAGTCCTTTTTTTGATATTCTGCCGTGTTGGTATTAATTTAAAGGCTAAAAATATAATTTGACGTCAACATTATGTCTAGTGACGTGTTCTGATATTGATTAAGCGGATAACACAAAAATAATGACTATGATTGTGGGCTAGGATTCTGACAAAAGATCACATTTGTATACTATAGTTGTCGTAAAAAGCGACTGTAATTCACAAACGACGCAAACGGAACAGTCTTTGGAATTGTGTATGACAAAAAAGATATATTATCATTGTGAAATTACACTTTTAGCCTTCAAATTAACACCAACATGATAGAAGATCAAAAAAGGACTATTTGTGGAAAGGTACCCATAAAAGAAGGACCACTTGGGTAATATTTGATAATAGAGGACTAAATAGGGAAACCCCCCTGTTATAAAGGACCAATTATAGAATTTACTCTTATTTATTTATTTCATTAGTTTTGTGTTATTTTAGTTATTTTCTCATTTTCTCCATTCATTTATTTTTTTCTAAGGTAAGACTAATCTTTAAAAAAAGAAAAAGAAATGGAGGTATAAAGTAATTTTAAAATTTTAAATAAAAAATTCAAAAAAAAAACAAAATTAAAAATTCATCAAAAATATTCCCAACTTTCATTTTCTTGCACAAAACAGACATTTTTGTTATCCCGCCTTTAGAAACTTACCGGCGACTCAAAACTTGCTAATTTCAGTAAAGTTGAGATTATTATGTATCACAGTGAAATATGAGATCATTTTTGAAAGATTAGGTAAAGTTGAGATTATTTTTGATAATTTTTTCTTAATTTTTAAATAAAAGTAACACCATGATTCAAGCATTCAATTTAATTTTTCCATTCTTTCAACTCCTCATTCATGAAGTCAAAATGTACACCTCTTTTTGCGACATAGGTCTTGTTTGGAAACAACGTTAAACTTTAGCGTTACTATTATAGAAAAGTTATCAAGCCATAGTTTCTAACATTAATATTTTCAAAATTAATATACATCATTAAAATTTATTCAAAATGTTAATATCAATAAAAGACGTTTCCAAACAAAGCTAGAGAAAGTGTGCATGAGATTAGTTTCATTTTTTATTTTGAAAAAAATCTCAACCACGGATAATTTTTTTTAATTAATTGCAATTTGCAATGTCCCGTCAAAATGACAATAATCAAGAGAGAAAGTTGCACTTAACTTCGTCCCGATTTGCTGGGATTGTGCCGCTTTAGTTAGACACATAAATTGATAATTTATTGCAAATTATGTGATTAATATTTTTGCAGAATATACTAGTTCTAAATTAATGTTTTCATTTGATGTTTTAGAGCCAAAATTATATTTGCTTTCCTTCTGTCCAAGTTGGGGTTTTTTTGGAAACATTCTATTTACTTTCGAGTGAGGCTTAAGGGTAATGTCAATATATACACAGCTTTCATACATACATACTCCCTCCATCCCCAAGTTGATTACAAATTGGGGTTTACGAGGAGAGTTATCTCACTTTTTGAAATCATTTTATTTACAAATTAAATCGGTATATCGATAAGAAACAAAAATTACATATTAAAAAATTACGTCAAAAGTTCTACTAAACAAGAGGTGACAAGAATATTTTATTTTATCAGATGCTTAATGAAATCACGTAAACAAACAAAAGTTATCGAAAGGAGAGAAAAAAAAATGTAATCAAATTGGAGACGGAGAGAGTATATATTATCCAGTATAATCACAACTTTATTCGGTCTTTAAAAAATAATCTCATTTTCACTCTAATGCATAATAATCTCAACTTTACTGAAAATTGCGAGTTTTGGGTCGCCATTAAATTGCTAACGGCTAGTTAACGTAAACGGTCTGTTTTGCGCAATAAAATGAAAGTTCGAATTATTTTTAATGCATTTATGTTTTTTAATTTTTTTAAATTTTCACTTAAATTTTTACAATGATTTTCTACATCCATTTCTTTTTCTTTTTTTAAAAATTAGTCTCATCTTAGAAAAAATAGATATAAAAATAGCAAAAATGAGAACAATAACTAAAACCATAAACAATTAATATAATACATAAGGTACCAATAAGTTAAACTGAAACTAGTAAGAAATAAAATAAAAATACGAGTGGAGATTTATAACATTTTATGCACTATACAAAGTATTAATGTACTACTTATTTTTTGAAAGAAGCCTAAGGAGTAAAGTTGAGATTATTCTAGATATTTTTTCCTAAAAATAAGAAGAAGTGATTCATTAATGCTTGCGCATAAAATAATGTTACAACCTACCACTCGTATATTTTTATTTTATTTCTTAATTACCAGTTTCAGATTAATTACTATTGATTACCTTATTTATTTCATTAATTTTGTATCGATCGTTTTAGTTATTTTTTTCATTTTCGTTATTTTTTAATTAGTTTTTTAATTTTTACCCAAAGGTAGACTAATCTTTAACAAAAGAAAAAGAAGTGATGGAGGTAGAAAGTTATTTTTAAAATGAAAATTTCAAAAAAAAATTCATAAAAAATAACCCGACTTTCATTTTGTTGCGCATAACATGCCGTTCTCGTTAACCCGACGTTAGTAACTTAATGACGACTCAAAACTTGCAAATTCCAATAAAGTTAGGATTATTATGCATCACATTGAAAGGTAAGATTGTTTTTGAAAGATTGTGTAAAGTTGGGATTATTCTGAATAGTTTTTCCTTAACTAGATAATATTGTAAATTTGATGAACTTCTCCTCTGGCTTGAGTGGTAGGAAGCCGACTCTCCAAAGTTCATAGGGAAGTTCACCCAGATTCGAGCTCTAGCAGAGGTAGAGACATTGACTGTTTGTGTGTTATTAAGTTGAGAATAATATGAACAGATCAGACATTACCTTGTAATAAAGTCAATAGTACTAAAAAGCATATATTGTAAAAATTTCATATCATTTTTTAAAGAAAAATTTGATATAATTTGATTGGTCTTGAAATGAAATTTTGAGATTACATAGTTTTATTAAAATAAAATAATACTCTAATGATCAAAATATCACATATGTGAAAAAGCAAATGGAAACATTATTTTGGTATAGTATTCAAAAGCTTCAAAAGGGGAAAATGTAGTTAGGGCACTGGAAATACTCATGAAGCCTCGGGGCTTCAAAATGGGGCTTCAAACCTTCTCTCTCTGCCACGTCAGCTTTAACTTAACTCACAATTTCACTGGAAATGGGTTTGAAGCCCCGGGGCTTCAAACTGGGGCTTCAAACCTTCATTTTTTACATTTTAAATACACATCTTCTAAAATTAAATTCATTAAATTTAAATATTTAATTATTTAAAAGAATTGAAACGAGAATAGTTCATTAAAAAAATTGTATTCATTATAAAAAATTACATTCATTAAGTAAAAAAATTACATTCATTATAAAAAATTACATTCATTAAATAAAAAAATTAAATTCATTAAATAAAAAATTACATTCATGAAAACATAAAAAAATAGTTGAATAATAATATTTTTAAAAAAGATGATAGAGAAATTTGTATTTGTGTTGAATTTTAAAAAAATTAATTTAATTTATAGAGAAGAAAAGAGGAAAAAAGAAGGAAAAAAAAAGAAGAAAGAGGCGTTATTACGCCTTCAAATTGCGTTAAAACTATGACGCGGGAGTTTTAACGCCCGGATAACGGGGGAGGGGGGCGGTGTTTACCGCCCTCAAAGTGAAGATAACGCCTATGGGCGTGATGGGTATACCGAGTGCTCTAAGGGCGCTGGAAATACCCATGAAGCCCCGGGGCTTCAAACTGGGGCTTCAAACCTTCTCTCTCTGCCACGTCAGCTTTAGCTTAACTCACAATTTCACTTGAAATGGGTTTGAAGCCCCGGGGCTTCAAACTGGGGCTTCAAACCTTCATTTTTTACATTTTAAATACACATAAATTAAATTCATTAAATTTAAATATTTAATTATTTAAAAGAATTGAAACGAGAATAGTTCATTAAAAAAAATTGTATTCATTATAAAAAATTACATTCAGTAAATAAAAAAATTACTTTCATTAAATAAAAAAATTACATTCATTATAAAAAATTACATTCATTAAATAAAAAAATTAAATTCATCAAATAAAAAATTACATTCATGAAAACATAAAAAAATAGTTGAATAATAATTTTTTAAAAAAGATGATAGAGAAATTTTTATTTCTGTTAAATTTTAAAAAAATTAATTTAATTTATAGAGAAGAAAAGAGGAAAAAAGGAGAAAAAAGAAGAAAGAGGCGTTATCACACCTTCAAATTGCGTTAAAACTATGACGCGGGAGTTTTAACGCCCGGATAACGGGGGAGGGGGGCGGTGTTTAATGCCCCCCAGGCGTCAAAGTGAAGATAACGCCTATGGGCGTGATGGGTATACCGAGTACTCTTAGAGAGAGAATGTCATGTGTTTAAACTTTAAAGTGAGATTTTTTTTTTTTTGAAATGATATGAATATGATGGATTGGAGATAGAATTGAAATAATATACTCATCCAACTTGTTCAAACTTCAAAGTTTACATTTTCTTTTTTCATTCGTCTATTTATTTTAAAAAAAATTACGTTCCTTTTTCTAAATGAGGATCAAAATACATAATTCAAATTATTTTTTTCTCTTCAGATTTCAATCACCCACTATTTTTTAGTAGTATATTATTATTATTTTTCTTTGAACCCACAAAAAAAAAAGACAATATATATAATCCTCAACAAATTGAGGCGTGGGGTTGTATTATAAAGAAGTTCTTGAGTCCATCATAACTAGCTAGAGAGAGACTAGCTGGTACCCATACTATACATTGATACATTTTTACTCCTTACAACATTATTTTGTTCATTCTTCAGGGTTTATATTCATAATGGAAACCCTAATCAATCGGAAAACCACCCGTTCGACGTCCTCCGACAACAACGGTTATAAGCCACAGCGGTTGCTCAAGGATTTCCTCAATGAGGATGATTATCACCACCATCCAAAAGAGTCATCCAAGCTTATGGCGCCGGCGGCGGCCACCTCCCGAGGCGGCTGCTCTAAGACGGCGGCATCCACCGCCATCTCCGCCATTCCCAGGGCGATGCTCGGCATCGTTGTGAGGCTCATAATACCCTTTCGTGCCTCGTCGAGAAAGAGCGTTGACCTCCATGAGGGGCCCACCGCAAGGCTGAAAGTCAAAGACATTCTGCGGTGGGACGACCTCACAGAGGAAGAATGTGATAAGTTTACAGTGTCGTTATATCACGACGTCGTGTATTTCGACTCGATGAATAGGTGCACCACAGCTACCACATCCGCGGCAAGTAGCGGGAAGTCTAGCTGGTGCGATAGCAATTTTACGGCCGGGGATTTTTCTGCATCTCTGGGAAAAATCCCTGGCCTAGGGGAAGTTGAGAAGGTTGGGAAGGAGAATGTTTTTTCATGTGATGAGAGTGTCGGTGGGCATTTCAGGGAAGTAAATCAAATGGTCCCACAGGTATGTCTCGTTCTTTTCATACGTCACCTCTCCTCTCATCCCTTTATTAGTTTTTTTTTTGTGCTGATATACATTTTTGATCACGAAAATGATATACACAACTTTTATTTTATGTGCAAATCATTTCTCACTATATACCAAAGCATACAATTAAGTTAAAAAACCATTGTACTATGTGCCAAATTCTAATCTTACTGTAATTAATTTCGGACTACCTAAAATTAAAGTCAAATTTCTTTTGGATTAAAGAAAATGATTCACAATACTTATCTTGATTCTAAATACATTTTATGAAAGGTGGAACGTCAACCCCGGGCGGTCCACCCCCGGTCCGACAGGATTGTGAGGGAGGTAAATCATGATATAATCTCAATCTGGTCCTCAGTGCCTCATGTGCACAAGGAGCTATTACAAATAATAGAGCTCCCACACTGACGTAGCCGGAATTCAATTCTTAGATCAATGACTTGACATTTTTTCCTTGGACCAATTGAAGTTTTTGAGTATAAAAAGTCTTTATGAGAATGAAAGGAGAGAGAGTGATATTCTTAGATGTCTATTGTAGCAGGCGTTAAATTGCTTCTTGTCATATACCAAACTCATGTCACAGAGTTAATAATGTGACGCACGAGAATGTGATTTGCAAAAGTATGAATAGTCCTTTTCACTTGAAAGTGACACCTATTGCAATAAGGATGGATCTATTGACACCGGTGTTAAGGTGACACCGCTCGGTTGGAATATTAACAATGTTTTCTTAGATTTTGAAGTGATTCATACCTCTTTAATCCATCCTCGCTCTCCAGTCAGCTTCCTTGTCGCTATTAATTTTGTAATTTTGCTACAACAATCCCTGTAGCAAAATAACAAAATGAGAGGAGGCGTGGGGCGTAAGGAGACAATGGTAGTTAGGGAGGAGGGATTCACGTTGGGATTCTCAACAGAACACCGTACGTGTCCCAAATGAGCAGTGCAACTAGCATCAACCAACCTATATGAAACCGGACTATATGCTTGTATTAATTAATACTTGTACTTAATTTTATAAATATCTAAAAAGTCAATCATTTTGTTTGATGGTCTATTGATGCAGTTAGATTTGGGGTATGAGGAGAAGGAGCAACACAGTCCTGTCTCTATATTAGACGACTCACCTTTCAGAGATGAAGACCAAGAAACCTTCTCTTCCAATCCAATCCTCCATGAATGTACGTTCTGCACATTACAAATTATGTGTGGATATATACTCTCCCTATTCCAAAAACAATATTCATTTTCACTTTTAGGAAGTTTTAAATAAACGTTAAGTGAAAAAAAGTTGGGGTACAAATTTGTTCAGAAGAGAGAAAGTTAGTGAGCCACATATTCAGAAAGTGGTCGGATAGAGTTTTTTGGACCGAGAATTTTTTTCCCAGAAAAAATAATATGTTCCACTCCATATAATTCATAAACTTTAATTTACTTTAAAACAGGCAACAATAATGGTGTTAGGAGGTGTTGCTACAATAACCAAGAGTGCTCATCATCATATGAGTGGGAGATTGAAGAGAAGAGAGAAGCTTACATTAGAGATATGGAGATGGCAGCTGGGGGGATGACAAGCTGGCACAAGTTTGAGGAAGAAAAAGACCACATTTGCTTCCACTTGGAGCTTCAAGTCCTAAGAGACTTGGTTGATGAAGCTTTGCTGGACCTTTTTTTACCTGCAAAATTGATTTATTAGTAAAGTTCTTCTCACCCCGAAACGGTTCTTACCCATCTAACTCCTCCCTCTCTCATGTTACACCATTTTGATGCTGTAAGCATAATGGTAAAACATGAGGAATGAGGAAAGATAGAAGACGAGCTCAGAGGTTTGCAGGGGGTTAGAGAAAGTATTGTTCCGGGATAAGACAGAACTTCATAAGGCTCTCAAATCGCCCGGTGTCATATTATTACACCCATAAAGTATTACATCTAGCTCCACCATACATGGTTATCTGTACCAATATACATATATAATTCATCTCTTGTTGTAATAATAGTAATAATAATAATAATGATAACTGCATATACAATATATACAAATAAACATTCTTTTAAATAAAATGAGCAACCATCATTTTTTTCCAATTTTGCAATCGATAAATAGGCGTTATTTCAATAAAATTACACTTATATGCTTACATGAATTAATATGTAAAAGGGGGGTGATAATTTGTAGCGAGTGACAGTCATATATGAATGTGCTTACATACAATTTGTGTACATGTATCATATCTCCCCCTCTGTACATATGCACAGTACCACACAAATGCAGCAAAGGATAAAAAAAATGATCCAACAATGTTTATGTACACAAAAAAAAAAAAAATCATATTGTGAGATTTTCCTGAATGGCTAAAAATGATCCAACAATGTTTCCTCCGACGTCCGGGAAGGTTGGGCACCCGGGAAGAGGCTTTACTCTACCTTTGCGGTCTACTTCCACAGGGTACTTAAGTAGGTGGGCCCGCATCTCGGTAACCTCTTCGGCTGCAAACTGTTTCCAGTTTGCCTCTCCCATTGATCTTACTCTGCGTACACATTCTACCGACTCCGGTTGTGTGAAGCAGTCTTCAACAACTCCAAGATGCTCAGCCCAGAGGGACATTCTGTATCCGTAAATCTGCAGGAGATGTGATTTAACACAAGAATTTATTCTACAAGAACCCACTCCATTGGAATCTGGGGTAAAAAATGTTTGCAGTTTTACACTCTTATACCACTGTAGACTGTAGGAACAGAGAGACTGTTTCTGTTAGACCCTAGATGGATTGCTGCATTTACTGCCCAAAACTTCACAGATAGTAGGAAGCAAGGGATGTTTAATGTTCCGTTTTGATTTAGTCCATGCCCGAAACTAAAACAGTCAATAATGACTCTTTTATTCTATCTTGAAAAAATTGAACCCCTAGTCCCTTTTGTGGGACAAAAGTGGTTGGGTAAGTTGTATCTTGAAACCTATCTAAATCCCCCCCCACAATAACCACCCGTTCTCATCCCTATCCTAACATTTAGACAGAACATAGGCAGGGTCAGTTTGGGAAACAGTGCTCTGTCAAGAAAAGCCTAGCTCAGTAGCGACTATAAAGGTCACGCTGATGGTTTTTAGTAGTAGTTAAATATGCATTTGTAATGATTGAGTAAACAACACTTTGCCAACCTGTCCATGGGGACTTGAGAGTTTTCTAGCCCATGTATGATGAGGTTGATAAGCTCCCATCGCAATCTCTGTATCTCTCGTCCCTTCCAAAGAACGCTGATTGATGTTAGCAGACCCCAATATTACATACTCATCGTCCACGATCATCCCTTTAGAGTGCACATAGATCATGAATCTTCTGTTTTTTCTACTAAGTGCCTGAAAATTTTGAGTAAAATGAGTCTTGTAGGGGCAAGAGGTAAAACACCTTGAGAGTCGAGACCATCCATGATGAAATAAAAAAGCCATTGCCATTGACTCATTGCTCTATGGATATACCTGAGGATTATTTGCTGCTGCAGGGTTCTCAGTGTTTGGTGGCACATCACTAGCATCAGGAGCTTCACGGTTTCCAAGACAGAAGAAGTTCAGATAGTCTTGGGGAGAAAAAGTTTCCTCAAGTCCAACCTCCACTAAGGCCTTGTAGATAGTCTCATACATCATCTGCATTGTCTTATTCTGCCAGAAAAGAATCCTTTGAGTAGCAGCACCTGTTGGATTACCCTCTGGCCACATTGGGATGACAATATACACAGCAAACTTTTGGTGTGCTCTTATTTTATCCGCAATTTTAAGTGCAATTTCCATTGGAATTAAATTGTCAGCGCCTTCAAAAAAAAGCAGGAGAGCACAATATAGTTTCAAAAGGTTTGGAAACCCACAGTTTATCATTTATCAATAAGAATTTCTACCCACCACTAAATTATTTTACAGCACAAACAGAATCAGCTGATGAAAAAAATGTAGAGCAATAGTTACTCTTTTGATAAGTGACAGAAATGAAGTAAATGTCAGATCGCCCATCATATTTTACATATTATTCCATCAAATTTCCTAAAAATACTTTTTGACAATATCAACAAATCCAGCTATTTCAGCCAAATTCGCCTCTACCAAACGGGCTCTTTTTTTTTTTTGAAAAACATTGATGTGGAAGTAAAATGTCATCAGCACAAATGCTTTAAAAACATTGCATCTTACCAAGATCTCTATGTTGACTCCAGTTGTAAGAGGAACCAATGAAGTATTGGTTTTCAATATAGATAAAATGTTGTGCAGAACGAATGGCCTTCACATATGCTGTGTGTATGCTCATATCAATTAGCACATTCTTCCCGCACACCAAATTCTATAAAAAAATGTTTGGCAAGATATAGTAAGCTGGAAGCTAGGAAATAAAGTAATTTAATAAAAGGAACCCTTGTCTTTCTCTCTCTAGCACCTTCATTGTAGCTTCTTTAGGTTCCTTAGGAAAGTCTTTAACCGAATTGGAGTCTATTGAACGGAAGATCTGCAAAAGAATGACAAGAAAACATGAAAAAGTTGCCCATTCAGAGTTAAAGCCACAACATTTGTTTGGTTCAAAGGAGGGAGGGACTATAAAGGGAAAATTGTTCCTTCAATTTCCTCCACTTCCCTCAACCCAAACAAGAACTTAGTCGAACTTCTCGATAGTTAGAACTTGCCTGAACATGCCAACCTTCGGGATCATCACCACTCACACACGGGATATCAAATATACCAAGAATTTCAGGCATTCTTTCTATCCGGAGCAAGGCGTCATCATATGAGATTTTCAATTTTTTAATCCCGTGTGGCTTTGAAGCCTTCAACCAACGCTCTTGAAAATTTGTCAAAATGTCATACGCTGCTGGACCATCAATTTTACAGTGCAAGTCATGCCATGGTTCTCTGGGACACCCAGCGACATTCCCCTGGTAGATAATGAGTTAATAGCAGTTCTTGCTTATTAAATCACAGCGAAGATATAAAATGATTTACTTCCACCCTTACATGAAAGACCTTGGATGAGATACAACCCGTATGATAAATATTACTCTCGTTTAAAAAAGTCATGTTTGACTAATGTTCAAAATTTTAGTTTCTTTGAAGGACCGACTTGGCTCAGCGGTAAGCTTGCTTGCCGTGGTGTGTCAGGTCGCGGGTTCGAATCAGCCTCTCTGCAAAAAGCAGGGGCGAGACTGCCTAGAGTATTACCTTGCCACGACACTCACAAAGTGGGTATTTGAACTGGGTCAGCCCTTTTTTTTGGAAACCAAATTTTTAGTTTTGGTAATACTCCATATACAACTAGTGCAAGTCATTTACCCTTCTTATATACTCCATCCGTCCAAAAAATCCTTTTCCAAACCCTTTTAGCCCAGAAAAGGTTCATTTTGATTTATAATTTCATGTTTCCAAAATGTGCTCCAAAAAAGCATACAAGATACATTTGAAAAGTCTAGTCAGGCCAACAAATTTAAAAAGGCATCATTCATGCTTTATGAAAATTGTACCCTTACCAAAATGTTAAAGTTGTATATTGGAAAATAGAAACCCTTTTGGGGGAGGGGGGGGGATGGCTGGGTGAGGGTATTAGTTGTTCCTTTTTGGGTTTGTTTGTTGGCTTACTAAATTAATCGTATTTAACTCGCCATTGACACTTTTTTTGGAAAAGTTCTTGAAAAGTTAGCTTACGTCGCCTTTTGTGTGTGTGTGTGTGGGGGGGGGGGGGGGGTTAGTATTTAACAAGTAAAGCTTACAGCAATACAACCCAATACCATCAGTAGGCTCACCTCTCAGACCTCTGAAGATTTATACCCTACGAGCCCTGATAGTATAGCGGGTAGTGTGTTTAGTTCAGGAGGTTGTTTACGATATTAAGAAGAGAATAACAAAGGGCGGAGACGTAGCTGATAGTGTCAAAAGACTACCACACATATTTAATGAGGTTGAAGGACTGTCAAAAGGCAAAAAAGGCTTTAGACATTTTGAGGTAACAAATGCCTCAACGGGAAAAAAAAATCTAGAATCTCCAAATAGTACAATCAAAGCCAAATGAAATCTTAGCCATAAGAATTTGGAGGGTGCATTGCTAAATCTAGGTAGCAAGAAAGAATTTAAAATAAGATTACAGATACTTACCCTTTGTTTCAGCCAACTGTGACGCTTCCCAGCTACACGGGGACAAAGAAGCACTTGCACTGAAGAGTGTTTGAAATAGTGGCGAGTTTCTTCATCATGAGTTGCCATGACTCCATCCTGCGTACGGAAAATTTGTCATGGCTAAGAATAAGTTTTTAAAATTTTACAATATCAATTTTGCAATGAGACATGACTATAACAAATATCCCAACTCATTATTATCTCGTGATATTTTCTACGTAAGTGGATAACCCCTATGGTGATGGTTTTGAAATTTTATCTCATTCTTTCTTTAAATGGTTGCAACATCCAACAAAGACCCTGTCACTATGTTTTTTGCACGAATTTTTATAGTGTTAATATAACTTCGGATGATTACTTAACACAAAATTTCTTGTCATCAACTCCAAACTATTCTGGTAACAGATGATGATGATGATGATATAATATGTTAAATTTCCAAAAACATAAAATTAGAAAGTACTTTCAGATAGGTTTAACCTATCATTAGCTCACATCTAAATATGCATATATGAAAAACTATATCCTCCCTCCAAAAATTTTTATTTAAGAAGCTTTTTTAGATTTATAATTGATGAATCTAAGCTGTTTTTTCCTAAATGTTTTCAAAACATTTTAATTTACTCCCTCCATCGAAAATAAACTTCATACTTTTTTTTGGTTGTCCCAAAATAAACTTTATACTTCTCCCATTTCCTTTTTAGGAATGAACTATGTGGCTCAAAATCTTTCTCTCTCTAAACAAGTTCCAACCAGATACTTTTCAACACTTTCCTTAAGCCTCTTTAAGTCAAACACTAAAGTTTATTTCAAGACGGAGGGAGTATATAATCAATTCAGTTATCTAACCAAATATTCCCTCCATCCAAGTTGGTTCTTCCCATTACACGTTATGAGGCTTGACCGACTTTATTTTCAATTCAATTTATTTGATTGAATTGAAGGTATAAAATTTTAAAAATGAAATTTATATATTTAAAAACTACATCCAAAGATCTACAAAACTAGAGGTGACATGACTATATTATTTTATTAAATGAGTAACGAAAATAGGCAAAGAAAGTATATAAAATTTGCCCATGTGAATAGTGTAGGGAAGAAAGATATTGGACAGAGGGAGTGCAACAACATCATGCCCACAATGAAATCACACTTACTGGGGTCTGGGCAAGATGTTGATGTATGCATACCTTACATCTACTTGTAGCGATGTAGAGGCTGTTTACAAAGTATATATTTTTGGGACTTTTTTTGTTTGTTTTTTTGTTATGCAAACAAATAATTACTCCGTATTAAAAATACGTGTACACTGACCAAATTCTATTACTTTTAAGCCTTTTCTCAAATAAAAAAACTTTACATTGACCAAACAGGACTCTTTTTTAGGGATGGATAAAGTATAAGAAAAGCAATATCGTAGTCAAAACCATCAAGTCAAGCAAACAATGACACACATCTGAATACTTTTGGTTCTAATAGAGCACAATTCCAGCATCTGTGGTAAAATTCATCTTTGCTTACTCTTTCAAGCTATGTACTCTTCTAAATGGTCATCTAATCGTAGAAACTACATCATCATCAATTATGTGTATTGGCAAAGCACGCCTAATGATGTAGACGAAACAACGTTTTCCCGCAAGCATGTTAATTTTTTCCATGAACTAATTGCCTTTAATAATTAATTAACACAGAATTTCAAGCCACCAACTCAAAAAAATTGGTTGCAAGTAATGATGTTGAAAATGATAAGAATATGTTAAGTTCCCAGTTTCCACACAAAAATAAGTTTCAGATAGATTGAATGACATCTTCAATAGCAGTACTTCAGTTTCATACTTTGATTCCTTCAAGCTCTATAGATATTTGAATGGACATCTAATAGAAACTACATCATAATCATCGTCAACAAAATACATTATCATCATTGATAGGTGTTGGCAAAGCATGCCTACACCAGATGAAAATAAGATTTATTTGATGCAAATATGAGTATTTACCGTTTTATAACCAAGAATGTTCCTTGAGGTGGGATCATCCCACACGAGAAGAAGAACCCTCACGCCTTCTTGTGACTTTGACTTCAGCAGTTCCCCCAATGTGTACCCTTCAAGAGAACGATCATCCCTCACCAGTCTGACTTTGTGCCACACTGACCATCCTGTTATATATACCAACCTTCTTGCACTCCGTATTGCACTGAATATATCACGCCAACATTTTCCATGCACATATTGCATCCCATAGTCAAGTCCCAAATTTGGAAGGAACCCATCGGGCACATGTGCATCTTGGTAAAGGGTGACATTTCCGCCCTTCCGTAATGGAAAATACGTCCCTGGAACCCCGTTATACTCTGGGCCTGCTCCAACCCCACAATGATAAATGCTCAAGCGCTCCATCGGTGTGTATTGGATAGAGAGACTTAGAACAGCTCCGGCCTTTGCAGGTTTTCCGTTACTTGCAAGGATTGGGAAGGACCCCTCAACTTTTCCCCCACCATATATCTGCTCCACTGGGATTACCACCGTTCCTATAAGCTGAAAGCCTACAATGTCACTGTCCTTCACAACAAAGTGCACTTCAGTAGCGTGATGTGCAACCGGGACATTAAAATGTTGCTTCCAAACAGGATTTTCGCTGTTGCTTATCACATAAGTCCGTCCGACGGTTGCACCTGCGACTGTAATTGTGACATAGGGATCACTCGTGATCTTGTCACTCATGTGCCCTTCAATCTTTGAGCTCATATTTCCTGGAAATTTGTTAAACATGTCCCCTATTGTTTTGTGAAACATATCCATGTTTGGGAGGTTTTTTGCTTCGTGGACAAAAATTTCAAGATTCCCGTGCAATAACAAAACCTTCAAAGATCCTTTAGAAGGCGTGACTGGCACGAGTTGGAGACTCTGATTATTAGATCCCGTTTCCAAGAATGAGTTTGAGTATGAAAGGCGGTGATGGGGAGTTGATTCGGCTTGCGTTGAAGATGACTCCCAACTTGAAAAGGATGAATTAGGATGCCCATATATTGTCCCCGAGTGGTACAATGGCTGAGAACTAGGTCCAAAAGGACCAGCCTGAGGAGCCTCTGACAATTGCATGTTTGCTATCATATCTTCCACGGGTGGGTAACCCGAAGGGTGAATGGGTGGATCAAGATGTGTCACATTACTACTACTATTTGACAATGTACTAATATTGATTCTTGATGAGTGGCTCTCTAAAGGACGCGTAGGAATTGATTGGTGATGGTGAGATGAACTATAATCAAAACTGCCGTGATGTTGAAGGGTAGGTTGAGGGGAAGAAATTGAAGGAGGAGCATGAGGCATATATCCACTGTAGGGATAAGGATGTGGTGGTGGTGGGGAATACCCATATTCTACAGGACTCGGCTGATGGTATCCACTAGTAGAAGGAGCTGAAGGAGAATAGTTCAGATGACCAGAAGGTGACGTGGAGTAAGGGTGTGGGTACTGGGGATAGGGAGGAGGGTATGTGAACGGGGGAGTATATGTCCCAGAACTATGAGGAGGAGGGTAAGGTTGATTTAGAGGAGGATGGGGAGGGTAAGGTTGATTTGGAGGAGGATGGGGAGGGTAAGATTGATTTGGTGAAGGATGAGGAGGGTAAGGTTGATTATACCCATATGAACTATTGTTATTGTTATTAGCATAAGGGTAAGGAGACTGAGAATTGTAGTTCTCCATCCTATAAAGAACACTGCAATTCACTTTGCCAATTTTTGACAGAATAAAAAAGTAACCACGAGGAACGGACTCTTTAGGAGCAAGGGCACATAGGGTTATTGTTTTAGAGGTTTCAAGGTTATATATATATATACTTTGCTTCAAAATTTAGATTTTTGTTGTTCTCAATAAAACACTAAGTGGCAATGAGAGTTGTGAGAGTACTCCACTACTCCAAAACACTAAATATAGCAATTACAGTAGCTATTTTGTGGCTCCTAATTACAAAATTCAAGCTCTTTGAACTCTATACACACCCAATGAATGGAGGGGTGGAAAGGGTTCCTGCTCTCGCTCCATATATTGAGCTAAAAATGACCTTTTCCACACAAGCAGTCCAGCAAACCTGCATTAAAATTAAATTTTCTTTTGCCTGAGAAAATTAAAAAAACTAAAAAAATGCATACATCCGGTATCTTAATATAATACGGAGTACAACATAAATAATATACTACCTCCGTCCCAAAATGAAATTCGTGTCACCTTTTTGTTTCATATAACTTTTGATGTAGTTTTCAAATATACAAACTTTAAACTTCGCACCAATTCTCAAATTAATTGAATTGAAAATAACTCCACTCAAACATCATAAACAGCACCAACATTTCGGGACAGAGGGAGTAGTGAAAATTAACATGCAGACATTTTAATGCATTACTCCGTAATGTATACTCCAAAAACATTTAAAAACTTCTCGAAAACACATTTCAAGAAGCACAAAATATACGGCCGAGTCAGTCTAATAGAAATATCAAAAAAACAAAATTGAGAAAATATGTGTATCAGAAAGGTGAAAATAAGATTTGTAGAGTGCAGTTTCATACACATCTTCGGGAAAAAAACGCGTAACCTGGAAGATTTGTAGCGTTCCAGATTTGGAATTTAGACCATCTAAAAATTTCATTAATGGTGAGATTTCATGTCTGGAAAACTGAATCGAGTCATAATTTTTGTTTGATTACTGAAGAAGATGGAGCTTAGAAAGAAAAAAAGAAATACCTTGAATGGCGTAAGAAAATGGAAGAACGGTGGTGAATTGCCCTGCGCCTGAAACCAAATCACAAGAACCGCGTTTACTCCATCTTTTCAAGAGATAGCTGACTTTCTTTTTTGGAAAAAGATGAAACTCATCCGGATAAATAATAGAATCCTGGCCAGAGAGCCAAGGGGCCAATGGATTCTAGTGGCCACGGAAGCCACCGACTCCTGGTAAACCCCGGCAGCCACCCACTCCCGATCTAAACTAATCACCCCACCTACGTCAATTGCACCTCTAAGTATAATTGACTTTAAAGTTAAAAGTTTTGACTTTATACTTACGAAGTGCAATTGACGTAGGTGGGGTGATTAGTTTGGGTCGGAACTTGGCGGGGGGTTTACCGCGGGATTAGAGTGTAGGAATCATCAATTTTATGAATGGAGGTCCGTAGGAGGGCAGTGGCTTCCGTGGCCACTGGAACCGGGCTCTTCTCACAATGTTATTATCTGAATTTGAATCCTAAGATCAACAAGTTAGACATTCTCTCTTTAGATCAATTAAAGTATTCATGCGAGTGACTTTCCTTTTAAAAAAACTTACTCCTATATAGGATGGAGAATAGAGAAATTATAATGAACATTAAATTATTTTCAATATTGAAAAAGTAAGTTTTTTTATACGAACAAGAAAAACTACTCTTAATCCAGTATGCCTCTAAATGACTTTCCATCTTTGTTATGAAAGATCATACTCCAAAGATTTTAGATGAGAAGCTCTCCTAAATTTAAACGGGAACATTGACTCTATGCGTTTCGACAGATGGTATGTATAAATATATAATATTCAATAATAGAGTCATTGATATTCAAAAATACTTCTATATGGGATATATAGAGTAAAAAAATAATATCGATTTCCATTACAACTTGCTTGGCGAAGGGCGCTAGACCCAGCCGAAGTTCTCACTGATTTATAACTTCCCAATCCAATTATCAATTGGTACTGGGCATTGACGAGCTTTCCGCATTCAGTTCTAGCTATTTCTAGTGATCCCATTCGCGCATGAAGGCTACTAAGGCGTTGAACATAGTTCAACGTTTGAAACGAAATGAGTTTCACATAGTGAAACGAATCTCTATTCTAATATTAAAAATCCTACTTTTTTATAAATTGAACTTCACCGTATGTAGCCTTATGTAGATACTTCCTCCGTCCCTAAAAGATTATTACATTTTGACTTTTCTGGTCAAACTCTTACACCTTTTGAACGCAAATTGAGGAAAAATTATATTTAGTTATAATGTAAATTTAATAAAATTTTGTTTATTTTAAAATATAGTATTGAACTATTGAATCTTTATAATATTTAATTATTTTAAATTATATTCAATTTGTGGTCAAAGATTTTCACAATTTGACTAAAGCAATCAAATTATAACAATCTTTTAAGGACGGAGGATTATATTTTTTTTTATACTCGGTAAATTAATATGAGTACTTGTAGCTTTGTTATAAATAATTTTCAAAAATTAAATTATTATTTGTCCTCATACTGATTTTTCCATTCCATTTCAATGAAAAAGAGTTGATAATTGGCTACATCCTTTTCATTTCAAACAAATTTTAATATTTTTTTAAAATTCTTTTGACACTTTCATAATCAATCGATAAACTATCAATAAATTATACTCCCTCCGTTCTCAAAAACACTTCATCTTTCATTTTTTTCATTTTCAACAAAACACTTCCACTATCTATTAAAAAACCACTTTTATCTTTACTTTTTCATACCCTACCTATCACATTCTACTTTTTCTCTAATAATCTACCCATCACATCTTACTTTTACCTATCATATCAAGGGCAAAATTGAAAGTCAACTACAATTTAACACTTCCTTATTTTTCCACTTTTTGAAAAAGTAGGAACTCTTTTAGTTTTAGAGAAAGGAGGGAGTGATTAAAAGGGCACCGATAACTACCGGAGTAATTAAAATACCTAAACACTCATTTCTGCTACCGCCAAGAGTCGACGGGCGCTGACACTCAGAAAACTCCGTGCTCGGGAGTGCACTCCGCGTCTCCGCCGACGCCGAACGCCGCCGAGGCCAGAACAGAACGCCGCTGACCCGCCGTGAGACCGTTAAGCCGCTACCCTCGGAGTCGCCGCTGTTTTTATCAAGGTAAATCTTCAAATCATCCATCTCAATGTTCTTCTTACTTGGTTTTTTCCATCAAGGTAAATACTTCGTTTTTATTTAATTGTTTTAGAAAACTACCAATTACTGCATAACTTAAGTGAACTACGAGTATGAATTGAATGGAACTTGTTAATTTGGGGATTTATGATTTATGTTTCGATCGATTGATTAGGGATTGAAATCAATTGTTAATGGTTTCCAACAGGCATGGTGGTCTTTCCAAATTGGCTTAAAGTATGAATTTTAGTGGTTCTTATTGGTTAATCTGGATTCGTAAATTCTTTAACAATACTCCTCAACTAAAAGAAGCTGAAGAAATACTGTTCAGAGCCTTATCATCTTTATTTATACTATGGTCATGTAGTTTTTTTATACAACATCGACTGGTTATTGGATTGAAATCATGACTTATCATGGTGTACTTTGTTTTCAATCTGTTGGATTAAGAACTGTTGGATTAAGAAGCCCGTATTTTGATAATTACTGAAATTATAATTTAATTAATATAACTCAAAAGTGATGAAAATTCAATTCACTGAGTTTCTTATTTTGTTCTAGCCAGTTAGAACACAGAACGGCTTGCCTGCGTTTGTATATGCGGCTGCTTAAACATCAATACACTACAAGAAATCATATATTCTTGACAATTTTTTGTGTGACACATATGATTTTGTCACATTTTATACCTAAGTGTTACGAAATTTAATTTCAAATATTATTGGTACAAATTTAACTCAGTATATTTCACATTATATGTAAGCTTTGATTTTATAGATCACTTTTTTACCTGTAGCTCAACATGTGGGGTGTTGATACATATTTTTGTGTATGGGACCCCATGACATGAGTTTGCTAGCTCCGCCACTACCTTTGTCTCCTCTAGTTTGACTTGTTGTGGTCAAACTAGATGAACCGTGATCATCTGCTAAATAAAATCACATTGCATATCAATAGAAAAACGTTTTATTAGATTTATCATGCAAAAACTTTCCAAAATGTGCCTCATTGTATTAGTATGCAAACATTTTTTACTGAATTTTTGATCAAAATTCATCCAGTTTGACAACTTGGATTGAACTAATACTCATGTTTGGTCCGTTTGGATATGGTATCCTCTAACAAAAATTATCTGTTTCAATTTTCTAGGTATGAAATGTAATTAGTAGACAGTGTGTAGCTGTTTATTGTAGCAATGAACAAGTACTGATTTATGATTATAGAATTGAATCTATTGGTTGATATCATGAGTGTCAGAGTGTATATTAGTTATAAAATGTTCTCCTCATAGTAATATAGAATGAATAGGTATATTATATGTCTTGATATACCATGAACATTGTGCATTCAAGTATTGGACCGAAGAAACTGGGATAATGTACTTTTTAAGCTTAAATTTATTTGGTATCTAATATGTATTTACTTTTTACGAACAATATGAATTTGTTATTTAGCTTAAGTACATGTCCCCATTCATTAATTTTTTAATGTTACTATCATCATTAATGTTTTGACCGCACATTGCACCAGTGGTGCACTAGTTCTAACAACTCTTTCTACATTTTTAATCACTGGAATTTGCACTTGAAATGTCTTGCAGGAGCCAGAGAAACATGTGTTTCATCTCGCTACAGATAAGCTGAACTTTGGAGGCATGTACATGTGGTTCTAGTTAAAATCCCTTTGGGAAGCCACCCTAGGCATACATGTTGAAGTACAGAAACCCTAAGCATCTTTCGATGCTTAATCACCTTCGGTTTTATCTTCCCAAGGCTTACCATTGGTTCTTTTCAACTCCTTCGCATCTGCAATTGCTCCACCATAAATCATCCATTGGTCCTTTGGTCTTCTCTGTCTCCTTCTTCTCTACCAAAGCCTTAGAACCCAACCCGGTTTTCTACAACTACCTGATCGAAACCTTGAAATTCCCCAAATCCAAAGCCCACGACGCATCTTGCCGCTTGCCATGGATCAAAACCCTAGAAAAACCCAAATCCGTGGTCCAGTACCTCAGATCGATCGGCTTCTCGGACGCCCACGTCCAAACCCTAGTGCGCTCCGCCCCGCAGCTCCTCTGTGTCGACGTCGAGAAGACGCTGAAACCCAAAATCGCTCTGCTCCAAGAGCTCGGCCTCTCCGGCGACGATGTTGGTAAGTTCACCTCAGTGCAGCCGTATCTGTTAACTCGTAGTTTGGATTCCGTGATCCGGCCGTCCATTGCGTTCATCAAGGAGTTCATCAAAGACGAATCCGACAACCGTAACTTGTTTCTGGTCTTAAGGAGGTGTCTTTGGATCCTCTCCAAAAGACCAGAGGACATGCTGCTTCCCAATGTCCAATACCTGAGGAGTTGCGGCATCGCCGGGTCCCAGCTTGAGAGACTCTTTAGAAGGCAGCCTAGAATCTTCACCATGTCTCTACCCATGCTCAAGGACCTAGTTTCCAGGGTTTCTGATATGGGGTTTTCGAACGATTCCAAAATGTTTGTTCATGGCCTGCATTCTCTCAGCTGCATATCCAGCGAGACGTACACGAGGAAACTAGAGCTTTTCAAGAGCTATGGCTTCTCAGAGAAAGAGTGTTTGTCAGTGTTTAGGAAGTCCCCATCAGTTCTGAGGACTTCCGAGGACAAGTTGAGGCTTGGGATTGAGTTTTTCTTGAACAGAATTGAAGCCGGGAAATCTTTGCTGCTGGCTCGGCCTTCGGTGTTGATGTTCAGCATGGAAGAGAGAGTGTTTCCCAGGCACCAGGTTTTGAATCTTCTCATGGCCAAAAAGCTTTTGAAGAAAGAACCCAGTTTTGTTAATGCCATTTTTTTGCCAGAAGCAGAGTTTCTGGGGAAATATATTGCAAGGTTTCCTGCAGAAGCTGAAGAACTGTTGATGGCCTACAAGGGTCATCTTCTAGTCTAGATTCTGAAAAATTCAATTCTTTTTCTTGCCCAAATACATCATGTAGTGTCCATTACATCAAAATGTCATCAAAATGTACTCTAGTATGTAGTTTGATTTTTAAGGGCGAATAGTTTGATATTTAAGGGCTTGATATTGGAACAAAAGGTCATAATGTGACATTGATTCATGATCTAATTGGGACACCTATGATATATAAAGTACTTGTATCTTACACATTTTACTATTCAAAAATTACGATAACTTTTGTTTATTAGTATTTTTTCATTGATTATTTGATGAAATAAAATATTATTGCCACTTCCTGTTTTGAAGAACTAGTATTCGAACCCGTGCGTTGCACAGACCGGACATAAATTTTATGTGAATATACACATTTTCCTATAAACAAATTATTTCTAAAAATTCTTGCGTATTTAATATTCATAAGTTATTGAGTTAACCAATAGTAATTCCTAAACACTAAAAAACAAAGGTTTGAAACAATGATTTTAATTTTTCTCTTCAAGCTATTGTCTTGGTATAAAATTTATGTCTGCGTTGATCATAGAAACCAAAATCTATGTTTGGTAACACAAAAAGTGACTTAGATATAGCTAACTATAACTGAGAACTAAATTTCCATGGATATAAATAACATGTAGTAAGGGGTAACCAACTCTCCATATTAAATGCATGTATTTGTTAAATCTTGAGTCACACATTTCTTTTTCTCGACTCTCGAAAATATAAAGCATGCATTTTTTAAGTTTTTGTTTTTTTCGTTTTTCCATAAAGAGTAATGATGAAGCATGTGGTTTTATGGCTACACATCCAACTCTCCACATTAAATGCATATATTTGTTAAATCTTTTCTCTTATTTGATTAGACATAAAGATTATCTTGAGCCACACATTTCTTTTTCTCGATTATCGAAAACATAAAGCATGCATTTTTTAAGCACGCAGCTTTATAGCTATACATTCAACTCTTCACATCAGATGCATGCATTTGTTAAGTCTTTTCTTTTATTCGATTAGACATAAAGATTACCTTGAGCGACACATTTTTTTTCTCTATTTCTCAAAAATTTATGTTTTCAAAATGTAGCATTTAAAAGTATAATTCATACACTATTTTTTTATATTTAAAAGTAATTTATTTTTTAATATAAATTGTACAGAGTAATAGAAAACCCAAAAAAAAAATTGGGCCGTTATATTCGGCCCAAACCACCCAAACCCAACCCATACCTAAAATATATAAACTCCCACCCTAACCTAGCCTATATCCTGGATCGACATTTCCCACTATCGCCGCTCGTCGCCTTCTCCATCTCTCTCGATATTTCGATGGGGATGCTTCCAAACATTCTGGCGATTATTACTCCTCTAATTCCACGGCTTCAGTCGTCGATACACAAAATCGACATATATTGAACGCCGTGTGATGTATATTGGCGGTGATGTGATTTTGTGTATTCTGTCTCCTGCAAAAACCTTCCTTCTCCGGGTAATTGTATTCAATTCAGTGTGAAAATTATCTCCTTGTACCTTCAGCTTTGAAAAATATACCTTTTTTCATACTTTATTATGAAACCCTAGATCTGTTTATTATTCATTCATCTTACTTGCTAAATGTTAAAGATTTCTGACCAGATGGATAGATCTACCGGGTTATAGACTTGCTAAATGAATATAGATCTATGATTTCATGTTATATCTGTTAATTTATTTTTTTAAAATCACATGCATCGGAGAAATATGTATAAAAATTATAGATCTTTCGTTTTAAAATATATATCTTAATTTTTTAGTAACTAAAGAATGCATTGTAGCAATCACTTTTAAAAATTATAAATGTATGGTTTTATATTACATCTCTTCATTTTTTTCCAAGAAACTGAAGCATGCATTAATATTTTTGATTTTTTTAAATTAATATTACTCTCTGGTTTCATATTTCAACTCTTTATAATTAAGCTTGTGGCACTAATTACCGTGCTGCCATTGGCAATTCTTATATTATATTGAAAGCAGTTGAAATTTTATGTTCTTATTAAGAAAGTCAATTTTGTAATAGTTCTCTCCATTTTTATGTATATAGAAATCCTATATAATTGTGTTCTTATGTCTTACATTTTCATCATGAAAGATGACATCCATGGAATCTCCTCCTTAAGCCCAGGCAGGAACAAAGTACACACGAACCGCCCTCAATCGAAGCATCCAAGTCGTCTTGCGATTGTCTGTTTTTCTCAGATCATCCACATGCTCATTTGTTTTGTTTGAGCCATTTTTTGGAAAGAGAATTTATTTGGAAAGAGACTGTTTGGTGCCTGTGAATGATGAAAGCATAAAATGGCTTTAAATACTACTCAGTATATGTTTGGAATGAGTCATATCTCCATATTAAATGCCAAGATTTGTAAAATTTTACAGTAATTTTTATTTGTATTGGCAGAAAATTGCTCATGGGTGACGCGAGTTTTGTTGAAATAACTCTCAGGTCCTTCTATTTTCAAAAAGGCAGCAGAGGTCCTTACATTTTGTTGTAATAACTAGAAGGGGACATTTCATCCAATATTTCATCTATAAACGTTAATAAATGTATTTTTTCCTATTCTTTTCTAAATATTTTAAGGTAATAAATCTTAGGTCGCTCCTTTTTTTATTTCTTTGTTTTTCTTTCATTTTGTTACTATTTTTTAAAGTGTTATTTTAAAATTTCTCCTATAAAATCGTATAAAAATTCAAAATTGTTTATATTATATTAAAACAAATGAAATAAAAAAAATTTCAAAAAAAAGAAATAACAAGGTAATGGCAAAATAGGAAAAACGGTATTGGAAAAATAGGAAAAAAATACATTTATTAACACTTACGAATGATGTATTGGATGAAATGTCCCCTCTCAGTCATTACAGCAAAATGTAAGGACCTCTGCTGTCTTTTTGAAAATAGAGGGACCTGAGAGTTATTTCAACAAAACTCGTGTCACCTGCGAATAATTTTCTGTTGTATTGGACATAAAGTGGCCTTGAGCCACTAAACCGTCCAGCCTCGAGAAGACAAACATGAGTTGTAATTGTCTTTCCCTTAAAATTAGTTTTTCCCAATGCTACTTTATGGAGCCACTCAATTTTATTTTTTCCCAATGCTACTTTATGGAGCCACTCAAAGTGATTAGACATAAAGTAAACTTATTGAGCCCATCCCTAGGAATAGGCCCAAACCCGTTACATCCATCACCAGACCCATACCCGATCCACCAAGCCTTTAGTTTAGGCGGGAACACTGTTCATAAAATGCACCTAACATTGTATATAGTAGGATTTATGATGTAATTTTATTTTTTATTTATATACCAATTTTTAAGCAAAGTGAATTGAAAAATTTTAAGATTATACTTCGTTTTGTGTAAAGTGTAAATGATGTAGACTATCTGGTAACTAAAGTGCCCCCCTCATCTTCACATAAACACTCATCCCGTCTACAAAAAATCATTTTGATGTCACAAGGATTTCTAATATAGTAATCAATTATTTTCAAAAACATTTACACTATGTTTGGTTCAAAAAATTTGAAAGGGAAAAGAAAAGAAAATGAACTGGAGAACAGTTTTTCTTGTTTGATTAGAAAGGAAAAGAAAGAAAAAATGGAAGGAAGAGAAAATGAGAAGGAAAAAAGTACTACGTGGAGGAAATCTGTATTCCTCCCATTTTATTGAGAAAAATAAGAGAAAATCATTTTTTTCTTTTCTTTCCGAATTTCTTGAACCAAACATAGTGTTAGACTCTTTAGACTATTAAAAAAATATGAAATGTCTTTATGGGATATGCATGCAAAGTAGGATTTCTTAAAGAGCTGGCAGTGCAAAATCTGTCATTTTAAGAAAATTATTTTATTTACAAATTGATACATTAATTAAAAATAAAAGTAATTACAATTATGTCAATTTAGTGCAAATTAAAATGTTTTATGTGACAAGTAATGTCTGAAACTTGAAAAATTTTATCAAAAGAAAACATGACTGCTCGGAGTACAAACTCCATTTCTTAGTATTTGTTCATTTTTGACTTTTTTAAATAAAATATATCTCACATTTCTATTACTGAGGTAAAATATCAAGTTTTTTTAATTCATTTTATTTACATATTGGTATAGAAATAAAAAATAAAATTAAATATAAAAAAACTACATGAAAAGTTCTTCGAAATAAAAGGTGTCAAGAATATTTTATTTTATCAAATAACCAATGAAAATGTAGAAATAAACAAAAGTTCCCGCGACTGCTGAAAAAGCAAATGTGAGATATATTTTAGGACGGAGTGAGTATCTTATATTCATTAGATAAAATAATATATTAAAAATCTTTTATATAATAAATCTAATAAAATTATTTTTGTATCAATATCTAATACGGAGTATCATTTTAATTTAATTAAGTTAAGGATTATCAATTTTGATCGGAAAAAGTCAAAAGCGAACAAATAATCAGGAACAGAGAGAGTATAATTTAGTAAATGATAAATAATTTTTTTAAGAGAAAAAAGAATTAATTTGACAGGTAATTTTTATTTTTGGGAGGACTTGAGGACGAAGTGGAGTATCATTTTCTGTGATCGCATCTCTGATTCCACTTCCAGGTCTCCTGCTAGGGCACAATGAACTGGGAAATCGATGAAATCTCACCATAGCTTTCTTCTTCACAAAAACAAAATTGATATTCTTTAGTCGTTCATCGATGGGATCGAAGAAGAATGGAGGATTGCCAGGCGCGTCCAGCATCCACAGGAACAGGGGCTGCGGATCTGGACCCTCCATTTTGGTTCTCACCTTCGGTTCTTGCATTATTCTTCCTTTGATCTTCTTCCTCGGCCGCAGCCTCCACATCGGTGAGTATCTACTGTTCACCCCCCTGCTCTCAACTCTTCCAGTTCTTGTATGTTCGTATCAGATTAGTGATATAGCTGTCGTCTGCGTGCGTTTACTGGAGACAATTTGGATTATTGAGGCTCTAGGTTAGGTCTAAGCGACAATGGAGGCATATTCTGGTAGAGATGAATGTTTTGTTGAGAAATAATTGTTATATACACGGTTTGCATTGTTCTGTTTTGTTGTATGATCTTGTAATAGCTTAATGTTAACACTTTGCCTTGGTATGCAGATGAAAATCGTTTTTCTACTACTTCTGATCATAAGGTATCCTTCGTCACTCTTCATTTATGATATGATCTTATCCCACGCTAATTACTCTTTGGTTTAATAGTAAAACACTGTTGCAATGCAGGATCTGGATTGGAGAGAGAGGCTTGCACTGCAACACATTAAACCCATATTGACACGAGAGGCATGTTTGGATTTTTTTCATGTTTTTTCATTGTGTTAATCTCTGGTCCTCATTTGTAATTATATCTTACCTTTTACCTATTCAGGTAGTTGATCTAATCAAGTCCAGTACATACGATTTAGGTCCACTAAGTCTTGATTCTTTTAGAAAGAACAATTTATCAGCTTCATGGAGGTTTGTTGGGCAAGTAGGCTCGGCCAAGAATACTAGCTCCTCTTTGGAGGTCAGGAAGATAGTTAGGGCTAAGATTTAATATGTATATCTAATACACCGGTGAATGAAATTTCATATAACTTGAAGGCTTCTGATTTTATTATTTGTTCGAATGTCTGCTTATTAGTCAAAAGGAAACGTTGCCGCTATCAAGCAAGAAACCTCAAGAAGAAAGGATGAGCTTCTACATGGTAATTGACTCCTCTGTAGTGTAATCATGGCAGAAATGGTTATTGCTTAAATGTATATGAATTTATTTTGTAACCCATGTATAATTTTTATTCTGCAGAAGATCATTCTCAGTTTATAGATACACCTGAAAAATCTTACCGGAGAGTAAGTATGACTGCTTATTTTCTTCAAGTACTCTTACGTGTTTTTCTATAGGTTTGTGGGTTTCTTTTCTTGTTTATTCTTACATCTATTTAATGACTGCAGCAATTGAGACAGAAAAGACGTGAAAAACGTGCTGCAGATTTGTTAAAACAGGATGATGAAGTAAATATTAAGCTTGAAAATGCAGCCATTGAACGCACAAAGTCAGTCGACTCTGCAGTGTTGGGGAAGTACAGTATATGGAGGAGGGAAAATGACAATGAGAATACTGATTCCACTGTACGTTTGATGCGAGATCAATTGATCATGTCAAGGGTTTATTTAAGCATTGCAGGGATGAAGAAGAGGGCTGATTTGGCAGCAGAGTTACAACAACGGATAAAAGAAAGTCAACGTGCTTTGGGGGAAGCAAGTTCTGATTCTGATCTTCCTCGCAGGTAATAGATATGCTTGGCTAGTGTTGTTTATTCATATCATTTACATATTGCCTGGTGTACATGGTACTATTATGACGATGTGATCTATTTTCTGATCGACAGTGCACATGAGAAGCTTAAGGCTATGGGCCAAATACTTTCAAAATCAAGAGAACAACTTTATGACTGTAAGCTGGTTACAGGGAAGCTAAGAGCAATGCTGCAAACTGCAGATGAGGAAGTTAGGAGTTTGAAGAGACAGAGCACATTTTTGAGTCAATTAGCTGCAAAGACAATTCCTAATGGGATCCACTGCTTATCGATGCGCTTAACTATAGATTATTACCTCCTACACCCTGAAAAAAGGAAATTTCCGCAGTCTGATAATTTTGAAAACCCGCACCTTTACCATTATGCCTTGTTTTCTGATAATGTCTTGGCTGCTTCTGTCGTCGTCAATTCTACTGTCATGAATGCCAAGGTATTGCGTCTTGTTATACCATTTCATAACTCTACTCGTAGCGCATGCATCTTTCTTTCTTTTTTACAAGTAAACTCTCTCTCTCTCTCTCTCTCTCTCTCTTAGTTTTGATATTTCAAGAGCATATTTTTATCTTGCTTGAGCGCAGAATAGAACCCTTGACTAAGAGTATTTTTTTTATCAAACTTGAATACCTGTATATTAGGTTAATAATTCATCTTCAAATTTGTGCAAGGGGACCTGCAATCCAAGAGGGATAGCCTCTGATTTTGTTGGAAAGTAATTAGTATTCTGGGGTAACATATTGATGCAATGATCAATGAACTTTTAAAAACAAAATGGCATAGGAAGGAATTCAACTGTCATTCTTACTACTTTGTTACTACATTTTTAATCACTGGAAATTCCACTTGGAATGTCTTGCAGGAGCCAGAGAAACACGTGTTTCATCTTGTTACGGATAAGCTGAACTTTGGAGCCATGAACATGTGGTTCTTGTTGAATCCTCCTGGGAAAGCCACCATACATGTTGAGAATGTTGATGAGTTTAAGTGGCTTAACTCTTCTTATTGTGTCGTTCTCCGACAGCTAGAGTCTGCAGCAATGAAGGAGTATTATTTCAAGGCTGCTCATCCCACCACCCTATCTGCCGGTTCTTCTAATTTGAAGTACAGAAACCCTAAGTACCTTTCAATGCTTAATCACCTTCGGTTTTATCTGCCCGAGGTTTACCCTAAGTTGGATAAAATCCTTTTTCTCGACGATGACATTGTTGTTCAGAAGGACTTGACCCCGTTGTGGTCAGTTGATCTTCATGGGAAAGTGAATGGTGCGGTTGAAACCTGTGGGCAAAGTTTTCACCGTTTTGATAAGTACTTGAATTTCTCAAACCCTCATATTGCCAGAAACTTTGACCCGAATGCTTGTGGGTGGGCTTATGGGATGAACATGTTTGATCTCAAGGAGTGGAAGAAGAAGGATATCACTGGAATTTACCACAAATGGCAAAATATGGTAATACTTTTAGCCTTCCTTAGGCATACCAAATATATTCTGTTATTTTTTTTCACGATACTCTATAGAACCATTCTTCAATGTGAAAACTGAGGTCTGTTTGGGACTCAAAAAATGCTACGTAGAGGAAATAACTAATTGAGGAGGAAATTTCTGTAACATTTGTATATGGAACCACAAACACACACTGAACTCATGTGTTAATCCATATGTCTATGCACAGAATGAAGATAGAGCACTGTGGAAGCTTGGGACTTTGCCTCCGGGCCTGATAACGTTTTATGGGCTTACACATCCGCTTAACAAATCATGGCATGTTCTTGGGCTGGGCTACAACCCCAGCATTGATCGGGCCGAAATCGAGAATGCAGCAGTTATACACTACAATGGGAATATGAAACCTTGGCTAGAGTTGGCAATGGCAAAGTACAAGCCTTTTTGGACCAAGTATATAAAGTTCGATCATCCCTATATTCGCGGCTGTAAAGTAAGTGAATAAACTCCAACCTCTCTGTTTGGTCTCACAGATAAGCCGTGCTTCGGAATCGTGTGGTGGTCTGTGAGTGCCTCATAATTTTGAATGTCCAGATGCTCAGAGGTGATGTATGATTTCAACAGCTTACCTTTGTATTTTTTTTTTTTTAACTTGAGTCACTTGAGCACCATCAAATGATTCAAATCTCATTGTAATAGAAATATGAGCATGCAAATTGATGATTCTTTTGTCAATAAGTGTCCATTGCTTATTTGTCAACACACTCTATTCCTATCCCCACCCCCTTTTGTTATTGGTTTCTATATGGATTCAAATGTTGAATAACATTTGACCCTTTGACTTGAAAGCTGTCCTTTGGGCTAGCCTGGACTCTTGAGCTATACCTATATATTGTTACCTACTGGGGGGGGGGGGGGGGTNATTTTGTCATTTTGTGATGCTTATGAAATGTCTAAGAAGATTAGTGCAAAACCTGCAAATTACAGTAGCTGTTTACTTTATTACGAAGTATTAATACACATTTCGTATCAACTTCCATGGAGGCATGAAAGCGGGCTGGTTTCGGTCCGGTTCTAGAACTGGTTCCAGATGTGGTTTTTTTGTTCGGTTCCCACAGGTCTCCTTTTTTTTTTAATTTGGGAAAAGTATAAAAACGCTCAGAAATTGTGGCACAATGTTAAAACAAGAAAAAATAGAACTAGAAAACCAACCTTTAAAACCTACAAATGATCTAGAACTGGAATCGGAATCGATAGTTCTAATACCAATTCTCTCCCTCTGATGGTTTTGAAACGAGTTTCCTAACCCCCCTCGTGTACAGTTTTGGAACTATTTCTCGAGAAGTCGATATTGTTTTTGAATCAAAACCACGCATTTATGGTTTGCTTTAGTGCAATAGTGAAAATATATGAGAGAACATTAATGGTTTGATTTAGCCAAAAAATAAAACAAAAAGATACAAAGCATTATTCTTTTAATAGGTTATTTAAAGATTAAACAAAAATGAAGTTCTCTCATTGACACAGAAAATAGTCATAGATTTTAGATAATAAAAGATGCACACATTAATGCGAATGCAGATTACATCTATACGCACGTAATCAATAAACGCATTAAAATATTAAAACTAATAAAGTGAAAATTATTGAGTATGATATCATGATCTGTAAAATATATTGTTCAAGTGTACAATATTGTTTCAAAATAGTGTATTAGAGATCATTTTGTCATATTCAACATTGTATGAATGCAGAGTACATCAATACACACTAACACATGTAATCAAGAAACACATTATTTGGTTTCATACTCAATAAACAATAATCAATATGTTAAATTGTTAATGATATTGTGTACTACGTATGTTTTAAGAAAACTTTATCCCGGAGTATTAGATTTAACATTTTCAAAAATATATTTAATAAAAATATTTAGATTAAAAATTTATTCTGTATAAAATTACTCTATACCATTTACAAAATAAATTAAAAACATTATTTTCAAACAATATCATACACTATCGAGATTGAATTAAAGATGATGATTAATATCACCAATATTCTTATTATGGACTACCCTTTATGCTTCATATATTTTGCTAACTCTTTAAAATGTACTCCATCCGTCCCATTTTATAACATCTGTTTTGGTTTACGATGTTTGACTGAAGTTATTTTAAAATCATTTTATATGAAAAATGGTATAGAATTATAAAATAAAAATTACATATCAAAATACTACATCAAAAGATCTACAAAACTAGTAGTGACAACAATATTTTATTTTATCAATTTGCTAACGAAAATAGAAAAAGAAAGTGAATGAAGTTTGATCCTGTAAATAGTAAACAGACATTTTAATTTGGGACGGAAGGAGTAATATGTAAACATTCTAATCACTAGCTAAGTATTTTTGTTTTTCAAAAAAATGAAATAGTTAGTAAAATATCAAACAAAGTCTTTGACGAAAGAAACAATGGCGCCGGCCCTCCGGGGGTCGATCATCTCGATTCCATGGAACCCGACGTCGTCGAATCGAGCTTCCACCTTCGCGCCGTTCATCACCAGCATCTGTACGAAGTCTTGTTGCCGGTCAATTAGGGTGTCCCCTCCGAATCCGATCACCAGAAACTTCCCCAGCCGCCGCAGCTTCGCCTTGCTCGCCTCGTCCACCATCGGGTTGCAGAACCTGTGGTCCCGATCCGTCCCCGGCGGCAGCGCCAGCTCCCAGAGAAGATCGATCACCGGCAGGGGGAAGTACTGGTCCGTCGCCATCTTCAATTCGGATCTGGTCCTCTTCTTCCCCCCGAATAGGGGCTGATTCAGGATCACCCCTGCTAGGGTTACGCCGCGCAGATCCAGATCCAGACTCCGCAGCGCCGCGTGGTACGCCACGTTGGCGCCGCAGCTAGATCCGTAGAGATAGCACCGGGAGAAGTCGCCGTACCGGCCGAGCCACTCGTCGCCGCCGCGTTCCGTGGCCTGTTCGTTCACCCACCTGAGCGCGTCCGTGGCGTCCTCGTACTGCGACGGGAGGCGGTGTTCCGGCGCGTTGCGGTAGTCGACGGCGACGACGATGGCCGGGACCTGGCCGGAGAGCTTGTTGCAGCCCTCGTGGACGATCGAATTGGCCACGCTGAAGGTGATCCAACTCCCGTTCCGGAAGTAGATTATGACCGGCAGTTTCCCGTTGCAGACGGCTGGCCGGTAGATTCTCATCCACGTCTTCTTCTCCTCCGACAGGGTCACGTCCTTGCTGAGGACGGCGTGGTCTGAAGCCGATTCGCCGGTCGCCGGAGTTGTGGGGAGGTGCATCAGGCGGGTGAGTGTCCCATCCTCGTTGAGGATCACTTTCAGGTGCTCGTAGGGATCAAATTTGGACATGATTAATCAATCAATTAATTAATTTTTAAGACACCTTTAATTAATTAATTATGCAATTAGTTCATTTAAACAAATCCCTACGTATTTAAGCAGATATTTATACTTAAGAAATGAAGAATGTGAGCTAAATTGTGTGATTAATAATGGCGGTGCTTGATAATAGGCTGGTCAAAATGTTTCATACACACAAAGATCTAGGGTGATTAGCATCACACGTACAAAATGTAATTTCTGTGAAATTAGGGAAAAAAATTTGTATTTCAAAAACATTTTTTTCCCTAAAAATAAAACGTGGCCTGTTTGGAAATAACGTTTTGAAACGGACAACGTTTAGCGTTATATTTTCAAAGCAATCTACACCGTTGAAATTTTATTTAAAAGGCTATGCGAATCTTCAACGAAAGAGTCTGTGATATGAATATATGATTATAAAATGTGATAGGATTATATTCTTTATTATTTAATTAAATTATAAATAAAATTTATTATATGTTCATACTTAAGTAGCACTTCTAATTTTATTTTCTCATTCAATATGCATATCCTTAAATTGCAGACATCAATCCACTGTCTTCAACCTGAAGATCAACGCCGCCGTTGATGAAATTCTTGATGGCGGCATACAGAGCGTCGGCGGCCGCCGGATCAAATATCTCCACCCCGTGATGCCCCGTCTCCAGGAACTGCGCCACCACGCTAACCCCGTGCTCCCTCAACAACTTGGCAAGCTCCTTCTGCCTGTCCACCAGTGGGTCCCCCGCGTACCCTCTCACCAGGCTCCTCGGCAGCCGTCCGATCTTCTCCTCCACCCCGGCCACAACGAGCGGGTTAGAGTACCCGTGGTCGCGGTCCGCACCCTCGGGCAGCGCAAGCGACCACATCAGGTCGTTCGAATGCAGAGGGACAATCTTGTCATTGACAAGTCTCAATTCCGATTCCGTCCTCTCGACCCCGCCGAAGTAGGGCTGGTTAATTATCAGCCCTTGGATCTCCAGGGGCGAGAGGTCGTCGTCAAGGGCGCGCAATGCGGCGTGGTACACGATGTTACCTCCTGCACTGCTCCCCATCAGGAAAGTTCTGGAGAAGTCCGCCAGCTCCTCCACCCACGGGTCCCGTTCCGGGCCAACCGCCTGGTCCCGGGCCCACGCGAGCGCGTCCGCCGCGTCCTCGTACGCGGCGGGGAGGCGGTTCTCCGGGGCCAGGCGGTACTCCACGGACGCGACGACGGCGGGGAACTCAACCGCCATGCGGTTGCAGGATTCGTGGAAGATGATGGAGGCGGCGCTGCAGAACACGAAGCCGCCTCCGTGGAAGTATATGATGAGAGGGAGCTTGGCCCCTGAGGGGGAGGAGGAGGAAGGAGGCGGAGGGGGGCGGAAGAGGCGGATGAAGGTGGCGGCGGAGGGGTTGAGGGGGATATCTTTGGAGAGGGGGAGATTGGGATCGGAAGGGTTGGGGGGCGAAACGGGGATGTGGTTTAGCCGGGTGAGGGATCCGTCGGGGTTCGGGACAATCTTGAGGAACTTATAGGCCGCTGCTTCTTTTTCTTCTTCTTCTTTGGAGTTGGAAAGGGTTTGGTTAGACATGGTGTATGAAGAGAGTGTGGTATAATATGTACTATAGTCTCTCTTTCACAAACTAAAAGATGCACTCAACTTTGTTCTATATATGCAATGTTAATTAGGTTTGAGGTTTGCTATAGGGGAGAGGGAAGGAGGTAGGTTGGGTGATGGAGATATTTATTGCTACTTACGGAGTATAATATTGAACAATAGTCTGAATGTTTTTTATTTGACTTTTACCATTTTTAATGCAATGTTTTGAATTTTGATCATCAAAAATCTGATACCCCAAAACGATATTTTTTTAATATTAATATTTTATTGCAGATTTATGTGTCAAAGTTTATTATTCAAAAATTACTGAAACTTTATATATTTGTTCATTTTTATTGATTATATTATAGATAAAAATATTATTTTCACTTTTTGTTTTGAAGAAATTTTCGCGTTGTTTTTTAACTATATAAATTTTATTTCTAGTTTTTATACTCATCTTTAAATAAAATGAATCGAAAACATTTAAAATCTTGATTTGTTTTACGTAATGTGGCAAATATTTTAGGAAGAGGAAATATATTTTTTATGTTAACATATATTATGAGCAAAGTTTAGAATCCTTAATTGAAGGAATTTGAAAGAAAAAAAAGAAAATGATTTTTTCTCATTTTCCTCACCAAAATGGAAGATATTTAGTTCCTCCAATCTTAGTAATATTTGTTTTCTCATTTTTCTTTTTTTTTTAAACCAAACAAGAAAAATTATTATCCATTTTATTTTCTTTTCTCTCAAATTTCTTGAACCAGATGCAAATAAAAAAAGGTCAAAAGTAATTAATTAAAGGAGGGGCATGCAACCAATTCGACGGTTCATTATTCCCATTTGGTCCCAATTCGGAAGCACAGAGAGGCCGGGGAGGTAGGTTTGGTGATGAAATATTTATTGCTAGATGCAAAAAAAGCTTGGGTACATAAAATTTTACTCCGTATCTTTTTTTTTACACTGTTATCTTTATAGGTATCACTTACACATACTCTATTTCATATCATTAATAATGTGTGAAAAATAATAGTATCAAAAATAAGGTTAAATTAATCACAGATATCCCAAGTGTGACTCTTGTTAGCTAGTTGTATGCAAGCCTTCCGATCCATAACTCATTTACATTACTCAAATGATTACATAATAATATAATCATGTCATTTACATTATAATGTTTAAATTTTATGTTAATTTTCATATAATTTATTTGATAATAACATCAGTTAAACAACGCATACAACAATAAATAGCTTAAAATGGAACAGAAGGAGCACGCACATTATACAGATTACAAGAGTTGTTTAATTTTGGTTGCACTCTAAGACGCATTATGGTGTCATGTGATGTTGGACATTGGCCCATTATGTAAATTAAAATGTATTACGCCACCATTGCCTCGGCTCCCACCTCGCATCGGATGGTTAAGGACTCACGCACCCGGACCAATATGATTTAGGATTGGGCGGGTACAAGGGCGCAAATAATAGAGGGGGCGTCTATCCTAGCTGGATAAGCGGCGGGCAGGGCCATTCGAACTAAAGCTTCATGTCCACTGAACCAACAACATAGAGGGGGTAGTCATGAATAACATTATAGTTTAATATTAGCATTTTGAAAAGACTATCAATGGATAGTGTTTAATGTTACTATTTTCAAAATTAATCTGCACTGTTACGTTTTAAAGAAGATTTTTTTGACGGATGCAGCATTTCAAGTAATCAAACTCGATTCGATAATTCTATTATTAGAATCTGGGAAAGAACAATAGAAAACCCAAAAATTTATTACACGTGCTTGACTATAGTTTATAAGTTTATTACAAAGTACATTACAATATGAAGTACCGACTACGATGCAACTGCTTTTTAGAACACATTCGGTGTTTCTCTCACAGAATTGATGATTTTTCCCCTAATGACCACACATATGAAGGACACAGGGTTGGAAAGACAGAGATAGGGATGTGGTGGGAGGACATGAGCGGGGTTGAGTTTTAAATATAATTAGGAAATAAAAATCATTAATTTTGCGAATAGAATACGGGACGTTCTTCAAAAAGTGAGTGGCATCGGGAGTGACACTCCTACTCAGTGGCAATAGAACCAAACTGCAGGGAGTAGTTTTTAACAAAAGATACTCTCTCCGTTCTTAAAAGATTACCACATTTTAATTTTTTTATTCAAACTGTAGTACACATTGATGTGAATTATGAAAAAAAATTATTTACTTATAATTTAAATTTACTAAAATTTAGTTTATTTTTAAAAAATATAATTTTGGAATATCGAATTTTTACAATATTTAATTATTTTAAATTTGTTTAATTCGTGATGAAATAGGGTGGATAGCGTTGACCAAAACATAATCATTTTGCCTGATCCGAGCCGTCGTTAATAAAATCCTTGATGGCAGCATACAGAGCATCGGCGGCCGCCGGATCAAACATCTCCGCCGCATGATGCCCCGTCTCCAGAAACTGCGGCACCACGCTAACGCCGTGATCCCTCAACCAGTTGGCAAAACCCTTCTGCCTGTCCACCATTGGGTCCCCCGCATACCCTCTCACCAGGCTCCTCGGCAGCCGTCCGATCTTCTCCTCCACCCCGGACCCCCCTGTTGCCGCCACGACCAGCGGGTTCGAGTACTCGTGGTCGCGGCCCGCACCCTCGGGCAGTGCGAGCGACCACATCAGGTCGCTCGAATTCAGAGGGACGATCTGGTCATTGACCAGTCTCCGTTCCGACTCCGTCCTCTCAACCCCGCCGAAGTAGGGCTTGTTAAATATCAGCCCTTGGATCTTCAGGGGCGAGGGGACGGCGTCGTCCAGGGCACGCAGTGCCGCATGGTACACGATATTTCCTCCCGCGCTGCTCCCCATGAGGAAAGCTCTGGAGAAGTCAACGAGCTCCTCCATCCACGGGTCCCGCTCCGTGGTGTCACTCGCCTGGCCCCGGGCCCACGCGAGCGCGTCCGCCGCGTCCTCGTAAGCGGCGGGCAGGCGGTGCTCTGGGGCCAGGCGGTACTCCACGGACGCGACGACAGCGGGAAACTCGGCCGCCATGCGGACGCAGGTGTCGTGGAAGACACTGGAGGCGGCGCTAAAGAACACAAAGCCGCCTCCGTGGAAGTACATGACGAGAGGGAGCTTGGCCCCTGAGGGGGAGGAGGAAGGAGGCGGAGGGGGGCGGAAGAGGCGGATGAAGGTGGCGGCGGAGGGGGTGAGGGGGATATCTTTGGAGAGGGGGAGATTGGGATCGGAAGGGTTGGAGGGTGAAACGGGGATGTGGTTTAGCCGGGTGAGGGATCCGTCGGGGTTTGGGACAATCTTGAGGAACTTATAGGCCGCTTCTTCGTTTTCTTCCCCTCCCTCCGGTGGTGGTTTGTAAAAGGAAAGGATTTTGTCGCCGGACATGATAAATTAATTACTTAACTATGTTTGTGGTTCATTATTGACTTCATTGTATATATGCATCTTACGTAGTACGGAGTATTAGGTTTGAGGTTTTGTTGTCTGTTGTAGTGTTGTCATCACCGGTAGTTTGGGTGATGAAAATATTTATTGCTATTGATATTTGATAGAAACTCAACCATAAATGTTACTCCTACATCAACCACTATACTGCACGTTGTATATCACAGATGCGTACGTACATGTTTTTGATATTTCAAAATCATACGGAGTATTTTAAAATAAATGAAAGATTTCCAAATTTTCGTATTAATAAATATACATTTTCCACAATTCAGGTTAAAGGATACCACACCTTAACTAAAAATTTAAACTCTGACAATATACATTTTCCACAATTCAGGTTAAAAGATACCACACCTTAACTAAAAATTTAAACTCTGACAATATTTTAGGACGGACGAAATATTTCTTTTGACAACAACTAACATTTGTTATCATATAATTATGATAACGGACACCGGTAGTGCACCGTTGAGGTGGGAAATGGTTGAACACTTGAACCCTTTTAAACTCCTTTTGCCCCTTTTCCAAAATATTGATTAACAAAAGCAAAAGTGATGTTTTGGGAAGGTGTTAGTGAGGTAAAGACTACTTTCGCTAATTGATGTTTTGGGGAAAGTGTTAGTGTTGTTACAAAAAGGCAAGGTTCCCATGATATTGCCCGGCAATGTCATGGGATGACCCGAGGCCGCTCCGGTGCCTCGTTCGTAAAATTGGTTCTTACCCCTCTAACCACCCGGTAAACTGCTCCACCCCGCCCCAACCCGAACATACCACCCCATACCCTCCAATTGCACCCCACAAGTTAGTTTTGACTTTGGAGTCAAAATTTGACTCCAAAGTCTTGGAGTCAAAATTTGACTCCAAAGTCAAAATCAACCTGTGGGGTGCAATTGGAGGGGGTGGGGGTGTGTTCGGGTTAGGGTCAGGGTGGGGGTGTGTCCGGGTTGGGGTCAGGGTGGGGGGTAGGAACTGTCAATTTTATGAACGGGACACCGGAACAGCTCTGGGTCATCCCATGACATGGCCGGGCAATGTAATGGGAACCTTGGTGGTTACAAAATTGTATGGTTAAAACGGATATATAAGAGAGAGAAAAGAGGTGAGCTATAATTTTTTTAAAGAAAAGAGAAAGATTACTTAGGTGTTAGTTAGGACCAACTCAATAAGAAAATAAGAAAAATTAATTTGAGATGGAGGAAATTTTATTATTATAATGTGACGAGAAATGTTGTTAATTAAAAGAAAAAGAGGGGAGCTTCCGCAATTAAGAAAAGTAGGGGCATGCATGCACTAATTAATACTCCCTCCGGTGAAACATGAGACATTTGCTTTTTATGAAGGATTTAAGGGAGTGTATTTTGGTATTGAATTTCCAAAAATGTTCTTTGATGTGATGGGTAAAAGTATGATTTGATGGATAGATTATTAGTAAAAAGGTATGATGTGATAGTTAGGGTATGAAAAAATAAGGGATAAAAGTGACTTTTTAATAGAAATGAAAAGTGTTTTGTGGAACGAATAAAAAAAAAGAAAGGAGAAAGGTTTCACGGGACGGACGTACTCCGTAATTAGTAGGAGTGCGTATATACGGAGTATTTCAGAGCAACCAATTCGACGGTTCATTCATTGTTCCAATTCAATTGGCAACACATATAGAGGTATAAATGTGGCTTAATTGTTTTGATGCCTTAGAGCATGAACAATGGCAAGTAATATACTGGAATGCCACACGCTGACATGGCACTGTTTAACCAATCAAAGTGAATCTAGTCACACAGTGGCATGACATTAGAGTGGTATGTCCTGTAGTGGCAAGTCACTATTTTTTACTCACTTTAGATTTTTGGCATATTTTAATCATTTTATTTTACTTTTTCTCAACTCAATATATTTTATTTTTGTTTTTTTTATAAATGTTTATATTTTGTTGTGAAGATTTAAATTGTACGGAGTATACTTTAATTATTCATAATTATTTAGTATAGGTAAAGTATTTAATTTGAATATGGAAAATTAAAAATAGAATATAAATTATGACGACACATTTTAAAAATTCGATATGAAGTTATATAAATAAAAGTTGGGATAGAAAATATAAAGAACATAATCATAAAAATGATCAACATAAAAGTCTATTACAACCATTTTAAAAAATCCGAGAAACACATCATAATAATAATTCGAGAACTAAAAAACTTGTTTACGAGAATTGTTGTGGACTTTTGCCGGTGTTTTTATTCCACACTTCTTCTATCAAGTCCGCCTTGAGACGTGCATGCCCGTTGAGATCCCTCACAGGAACGATTAAACCGGTTTTCTGTAGAGATTCAATACAGCTTCTGGCATCAGATAACTTTCCAACTTCACACAGACAGCTTAGGTAGGCTTTAGCTAGCTCTTTATCAGGTCTGCAACCCCTTTTGATCATCACATGGAATAACTTGACTGCTTCGTCAACGTTCCAACCCTTCTTTCCACAAAGGCATTTGATCAAAAGCTTAAATGTACTTTCATTAGGGCTGTGCCCTCTTTCTTTCATTTCCCGAAAAGTTCGAAGAGCAATGTGGGTGAGGCCTGTTCGTCCATATTGCATTATCATGATAGTCCAAGTGTCACTTGTTATTAAGTACCCTTTTCTCCTCATTTCATAAAATAGGCTTCTCATCTGTTTAAAGTCCTTGGCCTGTCCTGCAATCTTAATGGCCATGTTGTAGGATTGTGTTGTGTGTCTATAACTAGTGTGGTTCCCTACCCATGAGAAAAACTGTAATGTCATGCCAGCATGGAGTCTAGAGTAATGCAGAACTTCAATAACAACTTTTGGTGTGAACCGTATACAGCATTTCTCTAATTGTTCTTTTATAGACCACCAATCCATGGAAGATGACAAAATTTGACTGATTTGGCAAACATCATGTTGATGATCCGAAGGAATCTGATCTTGTTTCGCTTTATTCTTTTCAACGTTCCCTACGGGATGGGCTTTACAATTCCGGTTCCCTTGAATCTGCTTTATCTCGTTAAGCTTATCCACCTCTCCTTTCCTCTTCAAATAAGACGTGACCTGTTGAACGAATTCATCTCCAGGTTCAGAGGCTTCTTCCATTTCCTTAAATATTTTTAGAATATCATTTGTGCCAGAAACTTTGATGAGCTCCTTGAAGAAAATGCTATAAAATTTCTTACTGGGTTTTATTCCTCTGTCCTTCATGATCCTGAAAGCTCCAAATGCTTCAGATATGCAATTTTGGCGCAGGTAGCCTGTAATAACAGCAGTCATCGGTGCACAATCTAAATGGACTCCTATTTCAATCATCTCATGATAGAGTCCCATGGCTTTCTGGAACTCATTTATCATGAAAAAGTGTGTTATCAATATAGTATAGGTAGCCACTGAGGGTACTTGCCCCAAATCTTTGATCCTTTGCATTAGATCCAGTGCTTTTGGAAATTCATTTATCATCAAGTATGCATGGACTATAATATCATAAAGATTATACAATTTGAAATGTAAACAAAACTTAACTAGACAGCACTAATTGTAAATTTTATTTGATCATTTCATGCACAAGAGAAATAGTCCAACATTTAACAAATTGAAAAAATGCAAATAGGATTCTGCCCTTTCTGATAAATTTGAACCCTCTTATGCAACTAAACTTTCAGCCTAACTCCAAATGCTGAAACAGTTTGCCTATATGTAATATCCCCAAATGCTTCAATAAAGAATATCAAATTGTGGGTGTTTCACATTACAATCACTTTGAACAAGAGTATAAATTGTAATGATTGTATTTCTCCAACAATAGTAATTTTTTGTCCAAANAAAAGAGATCAAGCAGAGAGATGGAATGCAGTGCAATCAAAGTTAGAGATGAGTGGAGTTACCTGTGGGTTGTAGGTGAAGGATTATGGCCGGAGAAGACTATCGCAGAGAATAGAAGAAACCAGTGGCCGGAGGAGACTAGCACAGAGAAGAGAGCAACGGATGATTTTCCAAGAGAGAGTAATTGTATTTTGCTGCTTCAATTTTGCCTCGCATCCGCCACGCAAAGCGAAGTGACTCGCGGAATGCCTCGCGACCCTTTTTTTTCCTCGCCCACTGCCGCGCTTCCCTCTACACGAATGGCAGGGCCGTGGCAAGGTTTCTCCTTGCCGCTGCCAGTGCTCTTAGCTTGATGTACTCAATCTCTAAAACGTAATCTTTTTGTCCCAAATTAAATTGTTTATTTACTATTTATAGGGTCAAACTTCATACATTTTTGTTTTTCATATTTTCGTTAGTCATTTACTAAATTATTATAGTCATGTCAAAACTAATTTTGTTGCTCTTTTGATATACTCCGTAGCTTTTAAATATGAAATTTTTATTTTTTAATTCTACACCGTTTTTCAAATAAATAGATTTAAAAATAACTTCAGTCAAATATCATATCGTAAAACAAAACAAATGATTTAAATTGGAACATAGAGAGTAATTATAAAAATACCCCGTAAAAAATAAGATAAGATTAATGTGTTATTTTTATTTATTTTACTCGAATTTACAATATTATTAAGTGTGACTTGTTTAGCTCAATCTACAATATTCGGTCGTAAACATGTATAAAAACTCGAGTAAGAGCATGTTGTTTAGGATAGAATGTTGGAAGAAATCGGAAAAAACTAGAAGGAACTTACCCCTCAAGAAAGTCATAATAATTCTCACAATCGAGAAAAAAATAGGGAAGTACCCGGCCCGGATCCAAGAAAAAAGATAAAGAATATCAAAGATTTTCAATCAAACTTGCACCTCTGATATGCTTATCTTCATCATTGACGTCAACAGCCACCCGAGCACGTCATACTATTTTCTTCTTCTTTGACACCATTAGCCACCGGCGCACGTTAGACTTCTATCTTTCTCCAGATTTCATTCCAAAATTTTTAAATTATCTATGAATCTATTTAATTCTAATAATTGATTTAATTTATTAGGTCAACAAAACTTACTCGGTAAGGTAACTAAAATAGGTCAATTTTTTGAAGAGTAAAAGTTTGATTTTGAGAGCGTATGATCTTTAAAAAGGTACTACCTCCGTCTCTGAATATTTGTCCAGTTTTGACTTTTTTTGATTAATTGTTTTCAATTAATGAATACCATCTTGCTAATTAGCTAATCTTAGGAATGAATATTTAGTACCATTTTGAGAATTTACTCTAAAATTACTTAGTATTCTGTACTAATTAAAATCTATTCAAAGTGCTGACGCTAATTGAAAACGTGGTTCCTAAACTAAATTTATAAATTAAAAATAACGAATGGGATCAAACTTCATTAATAGGTCATCTTACCAAATATTTTAGAGTTTTAGGGTGGTCCCTTTATATAGAGGGTCATTTTTTAAGGAGTGGTCCCTTAAAGGGTGGTTTGGACCACCCTAAAAAAAATATTTCCTCTTTCATTTTTTTTTACTTCCAACAAAACACTTCCACTTTCTATTAAAAATCCATTTTTACCCTTACTTTTTAATACCCTATCTATCACATCATACTTTTTCTCTAATAATCTATCCATCTCATCTTACTTTTATCCATCACATCAAGGGCAAAATTGGAAGTCAATTACAATTCAACACTTCCTTATTTTTCCATTTTTTCAAAGTAGGAACTCTTTTTTAGAACGGAGGGAGTATTTTTTTACCACAGAACATGCAAAAAAAATTAAAAAAGAAACATGAGATAATACATGGCTCAATACTCAAAATATAAAGAAATTGATACATGAATGTCTTGAAAGAAGCAAGAATCACACGCAGTTCTTTTTGAACATATAAGCACTTTTAAACAAAAATGAGTACATATATAGTGGCATTATTGCAAATATAAATATAGTGTTTCCTACATAATCCGTATTTTTTTCTTTTAATTTTAATTTATTAACTTTTTATATGTTTGAACGTAACAGTTTTAAATGAGTACGTATTTTTTCTTTTAATTTTAATTTATTAACTTTTTACATGCTTCCTACATATACTCTCGAGGTAGTATATTTTAATAGTATCATTACTGTTTTTTCTTCTGAAATGTTTGAACAATTGAATATCTATTTTTTTAATACTTATGAATAGTAATGAATTGAGCGCAGGAAGTAGGAAATAAATTTCAATGAATAACAATAATACGGAAATGTCAATAATAATAATAATAATAATAATAATAATAATAATAATACAATCTCGTAATAATAATAATAATAACACTCCCTCCGTCCCATGAAACATGAGAGTTTTGCTTTTTAGAAGGGATTTAAGGGGAGTGTATTTTGGTATTGAATTTCCAAAAATGTTCTTTGATGTGATGTGTAAAAGTATGATTTGATGGATAGATTATTAGTAAAAAGGTATGATGTGATAGTTAGGGTATGAAAAAGTAAAAAGTAAAAGTGACTTTTTAATATAAATGAGAAGTGTTTTATAGGACGGATAAAAAAAGAAAGGAGAAAGGTTTTATGGGATGGAGAGAGTATATAAATAGATAAAAGTCCAATGAGTAATGCATTGGATTGGGGGGACTCGAGAGAGTTGGGCGGCGGGGATGCTGGGGAGACCGACCCCATCTCCGGCTAGACCCCATTTACGGCTATATATGACTATGGCTGAGGCGACGGCGGCAGTGACGGCAACTTCAATTCGGTGGACATGTCCTCCCGGCCGCAGCGACGGAGGAGCCAGGTAATGGCCTTGATGGCCCGCAAGTTAGGTTGCACTAGAGGCCAGAGCTACGGTAACATAACGTGCGGCCGGCGTCCTCCTTAATTTCCAAATCTGAATGGGGACATTTTGTATGTGGAGCTATATATATATATATATATATATATATATATATATATAGATCGAGCTGATCATGGATACAAGGAAGGAAGGAAGGAATTAAAGGAATAAGGAAGCTAAGGAGGAGGGATATGATATGATATGATTGAGGGAAGGGGAGAGGGGAATTTATACTGGCCGGATATGATGGGGGAGGAGATCGACGTATGTAGTGCAGTGGAGGAGGGGTAATAATCTATTACTATATACTACCTCCGTTTCTCAAAAGAGTTCCTCTTTTGACTTTAGGGGAAAATAAGGAAATGTTAAATTGTAGTTGAATTTCCAATTTTGCCCTTGATGTGATGGGTAAAAGTAAGATGTGATAGTTTAGTTGTTAGTGAAAAAGTATGATGTGATAGGTAGGGTATGAAAAAGTAGGGGTAAAACAACAACAACTCAGTTAAATCCCACAAGAGTAGGGTCTGGGGAGGGTGTGTGTACGCAGACCTTGCCCCTACTCGAAAGTAGAGAGGCTGTTTCCAAAGAGACCCCCGGCTCAACATCGAAAGTTGCAGTGTTTGACTAACTGCTACTTCATTAATTAAAGAAGCGCAGATAGTTTAGAGATCCATTTTGATTTATTCCATCACACCCCAAAGCCAAAAATGGTGAAATTTTGACTACCATCAGAGATGNAACAACAACAACTCAGTTAAATCCCACAAGAGTAGGGTCTGGGGAGGGTGTGTGTACGCAGACCTTGCCCCTACTCGAAAGTAGAGAGGCTGTTTCCAAAGAGACCCCCGGCTCAACATCGAAAGTTGCAGTGTTTGACTAACTGCTACTTCATTAATTAAAGAAGCGCAGATAGTTTAGAGATCCATTTTGATTTATTCCATCACACCCCAAAGCCAAAAATGGTGAAATTTTGACTACCATCAGAGATGTGATAGGTAGGGTATGAAAAAGTAGGGGTAAAAGTGGTTTTTTAATAGAAAGGGGAAGTGTTTTAAGAAAAACAAAAAAATGAAAGAGGAAGGGTTTTGAGAAACGGAGGGAGTATATAAAAGAAGGATGCAAATTGAGAATCCAATTTCACTTTAATCGAACGGTCCAATTTCATTTGCAATTGACAAATCTGACCGTCCGATGCCAAATGCGGTCAGAATCCGATGGCGATTCTTTACAAAAGACATTTGCAGTTTCGGTATCTTCATTCTCAGAGTGGTTGATGATCTTCTGCGCCGGAGCGGGCATACAGATCTACGCCAATCCACCATCTGCCTCCAGTCCTTCACCTCTTTTTCCCTCCCTCCTCTTGCTTTCATGAGGGTAAGATCCGGACAACTTGAAGACATCAAAACATTGATCTTAAATTCATTCCAAAAATCAAATGAAAATGAATAGAAAGTTGCGGAGGATCCGGTGCCCCTAGAAGAGTTTTGGAAATAATGAATCTGTTTTCATTATTTTCATTTGTTTTCCTTATCATAAGTTGATATCATAAGTCTAATGCCTTGAGCAGATAATTATCTTTAATATATATATCTTTGTAATTGATTTTTGGAGACTAGCTACCAAAGCATATAGTTTACATTTGGAATTATTAGTTATATGATTTACGTACAGAATGGGGGAACTAGTAAGTCTTTCATAATTTAGCTTCAAAATTTGCATATCAACTCAACCTCATTTATTCATATATTGATATTATATTAAGGCTACAACTTTGCAACAAGTTGCTCAGCATATCTACTGGACATAATGTGAGACGACAGATGTTACAAAGGATCGAGAATCAGTCACTATATTGCATTGGAAATATTATATGTTCCAAGATAATAGATCACTCTTTCATGGTAGTGTGTTAGGTTTATATTCTCTAGAGTACCATATTGATCGAAGAAATTCAGCACTGACGGTTAAAAATTATGGTCTTTAATTAGAAATGTTGCTACTGCTTATATCATGATGTACATCACAATTCTTTAGACGAATTCTAAGAATATGCTTTTAAAGCTTCGATTCTTTAGTTCATGTTCCTTCTTACTCCATATAAAGTAATCAGGGTTTGACAACTACGTACAGTCTACACCATGTACTGATGAGTGTATTCTTTTGGAAAAAGTTAATGTATGCATTGGGAAATTATGAACTCAAGTCTGGTTGGTATGTATAAAGAACCTTATTGAGATGGTTGGGGACAAGAATCTGTGTTTGTTTTCCTGCATGTATATATTGGCTCACGTGAAAAATCCAAGCTAAGAAGCTGTTAGAAAGGGGTAAGCACAAGATTAAGAGAAATATTGGAGGTGTTTTTTTTACAAGTTTCATAATAGGAATGTTATGCTTGGCAATTATATGTTCTTAGTGATGTCAAACATGGAAGGAAACCTAAACTAAAGTTTGATATATGCTGTATATATTTGCATAATCTATTTTAAATTTATATATTTTCAAATATGGCTTTGATAATTGGGATGGAAATGTCTCACGGTTTCCAATAAATTTTGAGTTTCAATCAAATAAAAATCGTAATATATTTTGGCAAAAAAATGATTTTATTGAATTTATTTTATTGAGAATTTTCAAAGTTTTATATCATTATAACATTATACTCTATAAATAGAGAGTAATTGAAGCTTAAAGTTTATTTAATTTGATTTAAAAAGTGAAACGGGACAAATACCATGTGACGGAGGTAGTACACTAGAAAGACAACAAGTTGCAAAGTTTCAAATTGTACTCCCTTCGTCCCAAAAAGATTTATACCTTTCAAAAGAATTGTGTCCCACAATCTCCTACCCATTTTTATTAAAAAACCAGTTTTACCCCTTACTTTTTCAAACTCTACCTATCACATCATACCTTTTTCCTAATAATCTACACATCACATTCTACTTTTATCCATCACATCAAGAGTATTTTTGAAAAGTCAATACAAAATTATCCCTTCCTTAATTTCTACTTTAGTCAAAATGGTTAACACTTTATGGGACGGAGGGAGTAGTTAATTTACGATTTTCATTATCTAAAAGATATACATGTGTGTTTTATCAAATTAATTTATATATATTTTTTTTGTATAAGATTGGGATGAATACAATGATCAAAACATGCACACTTATTTCGTGACTATTAAATAGAAATGAAAAAATCTCAAAAAATATACAACATATTTTTTAATTGGGTACATTGCTAATAAAATTTAGAATTGACAGAGTAATAAAAAATATAGTTACATATATATGATTTTTCTATTGAAGGATATCATATACTCCGTATTAGTTATACTTATAATTATATAATAAGATATTATTCATTTTAAAATGTATAAACAAATATTTAAATTTTTTAAATTCAACTAAAATTATAGAAGAAATATATTCCCGTGCAACGCACGGGTGAAATACTAGTTAATTAAGTAAGGGGGGTACTATTTATACCGGATGGGGGAGGGAAATACTATAAGTTTAATTCATTTCATTTCTATACTTAGCTTATTTACTTCAAAAAAGATTTTATATATATATATATATATATATATATATATATATATATATGTATGCACTACTCTAGTATTTCTTTATGTTAATTACTTAAAAATAAATTTAGATTTTCATTGTTATTATTATTTACTAAAGTTAATGATTTAAAAAATTGTTTTCATAATAATTTACTCCCTCCGTCCCAAAGAGTTTGTTACGTTTAGAAAAAACTGCGTCCTGTAAAGTCCGTTACATTTCTACGGAGTATTAAAAAACCACTTTTACCCCTTACTTTTTTCATACCCTACCTATCACATCATACCTTTTTTCTAATAATCTACCGATCACATCCTACTTTTACCCATCACATCAAGAGTATTTTTGGAAACTCAATACTAAAATATCCATCCCTTAATTTCCCAAAAAGTCAAACCGTCCCATTCTTTTTGGGACGGAGGGAGTATATTATTAGCTTAAGTTAATTTTTTTTAAAAAAAGATTGTGATAAATTAGCGAATTGGCATATATGCACGCTCACTAAGAAAAGTACTACGTATGAAATTAATGAAATCTGATGTTGCACACATACCTGAAAGAGAGAAATGATGCAATATAAGAGTATCTTTAATCGTTCCTCTCACTTTCCCATCTTTTTTCTTTTTTTATGGTCATTTCACTTTTTTTTAACTTTCCTCTCACCACTTTAATAAATCATCACAGTTTCCCTTCTTTTTAATGGTAGACCCACAAGTCATAAATTTATTTAATTCTTTGAAAGAAATAAATCATTTGATATTTTATAATAAGTCTATTTTATCTACACAATATTTATCATACCAAATCAAAAAAGTTATTTTAAAATAAGTAATCTAAATTTATGGAGTATTTTTTATTTTAAAAATATTAATAAAGAAAATAATAGTTTTAAAATCTTACCATTATAAAAAAAATTAACCTATTTTTTATTTTTATTTTTTTTCGTTTCTCTTTTTTTCCTCTTTTCTTTTGTTCTTTTCTTTCTTTCTTTCTTTCTTTCTTTCTTTCTTTTTTCCTTTCCTCCCTCTATTTTAATTATTCTCCTCATTTTCTTCTTTTCCACATCATCATTCTCAACAATTCTTTATAGAGGGGAATTGTATAAATTTAAAAGGGACTTCCAAAAGGTATATAGGGATGAGTTTGGGAGGAAGGAATTGAAGTGCACAAATTTAATTGGGACTTCCAAAAAAATGCGCAAATTAAATGAGTTTGGGATGGTCCATAAATTGACCCCATCACATGTTAAACAAAACATGTTAAAAGAAACCATACCTTCCCAAAGTATATTAGTACCCAACATATCACTGCTTTCCATACTTTAGCTTTAACCAAGAACGCTACTCATTTATATATCATTGTGTTTTTAAATGTGCCCAACACAAAACTCACTACATATTCACCATTGTTACCAAAAACAGCGAGCATATTATAAGTCCATGTGCGTTAGTTGGTATTCAATTTTAATTTGTTCAATTTCCTTTTGTTTATGTTTTTTAAGTGAATCATATTTGTAAGGTTTGCCTTTATTACATGTTCCTTTCACATTTAAAAAAAAATGCATGTCTCAATAATGTTAATTAGGTATGTGTTTAGTTTTGTAAAGGTAAGATTGTGTAGTTGAAATTAATTTGTCCAAGATAGAGTGTATGTATTGATGTTTACCAAACAATTTTTTTTTGATACTCCATATGTTCTTAAAGACTTTCTCATTTTGATTTTTGGAGAACTTATGAGACAAATATTTTTATGTTGATTTTCAAAATATTATCTATATAGATTTCTGTTAAAACATATGATGTGATAGATAAGATAAGAATTACTACGTAGTAGAGAAATAAGTAAATATTTAATGAGTAGAAGGAAGAATGAATTTGTGGGGCAGTGGCAGGGTTCGAGGTGGGGGCCGGGGTTTACCGGAAGGAGGAGTTATGAAGGGTAGGAACCGTCAATTTTACGAAAAGAGCATCGTACGGTCCTCGGGTCAAGGGAACCACAGAGATATAGCGCATACATTATTATTGATCTTGTGATCAACATGGTCTCCATTTCATTATAAGAAAAAATTGAGATGAGGGAGTACTTCGTTTAATTCATTAGTATTTATATACTTCTAATATTAATCAAAGAAATTAAAGGGCAATGTATTCTTGACCTTGTGCGATGGGCCGAGTCCGACTCCCCACAGCCCGAGTCCATTCCAACACTGAGAAATCAACTACTCTGTAATAAACTTTAAAAAATGCTATCCAAAATGGCTCCGGCCACTCCATCTCCATTGGTTTAAACATAGGTAGTATCTTTTGATTTTGAGGTGCTTTTTTAATAATTGCCCAATTTTTCTTACTAAATGTACTAACTGAACTACTTATGGGTTTCCAATTTCCAAATAGGAAAGGTGGAGAATGCACTAAAAAATGATGAAAAATGCACTAAAAACTTTAATACAAAAAACGTGATGAAGAATGCACTAAAAAATAGACTTAAATTTGATTTAGAACGTAACATCCAGGTGCTTCACCCTAGGAGTGGTCCTCAACTGGCCGGTCACATGCATGCATATTCCATACAAATATATAAAAGAATTCACTAAATGTAGTAACTGAACTACTTATGGGTTTCCAATTTCCAAATAGGAAAGGTGGAGAATGCACTAAAAAGAGATGAAAAATGCACTAAAAACTTAAATACAAAAAATGTGATGAAGAATGCACTAAAAAATCTACTTAAATACAACTAAAGCATTAAACTGCATCAAAATAAAACTTTATATATGTTTGTATTCTTTAACATTATACATTCATATAGTATATACGGAGTATTACCTTATTTTTATCAAATTGTATTTTNGGGGGATATATAGCAGTTTAATTTGCATGGATTGGGAAAGAGGGTGAAAACGAGTAGTAGTAAATAGTGGCCGGAGTACATTTTTTTTTTTTTTGGATGGACCATGATACAATCACACCGGGGACGTACGATACCCCAAGCTAAGGTTTACACTGCCAGACTATGACAATCTACACGTGATTGTCTCTGGTGGTGTTAATATTATTGTCATCTCTGGGGTTAAAATAAGTTGGTTCTATTAGAAATTAATACGTACTCATGATAATTATACAAGTGTATGTTGTCTATTTAAACACATGGTTAACTGGATTCCAGGCCACCAAAACATGTCATTTCTATAGATGCATGGACTGATGTGTGTTTGTTAGATCGATATTAGTGAGGATATATATATCAATGGTGATGGCCAATTGGCATAAGTAAAAAATGAATTCATTATGCTATCTTTGGTTTTCAATTTTACTGATGAAAAGGGCAAGCTAAATAAAGAATTAGTTACATTTAATCACCTCCCTTATTAGATATGGTAAAAAAAAACTAAAAAATGTTCTTTTATTTCACAGCAGCAAGTACCGATCGACCCTGCATCGCCGCAACACTATATTATTGTGTTTTGCTTAAGCAATGTAATTTTGAAGAGAAAAAAAAAATGCTAACAAAAATTAAAGCAGCTTCCATTCCTTGTAGCAATATATAGATAATATTTATATAAAAAAACAGAAAATTAAAAACAATCCATTTCCTACAACAATTAACACAACAACACATTAAACGAACACATAGCCTAATAAATTTTTGACCGACCAAATTAAATGGGATGGGATGCTGGCCGGGGAGACTGACCCTGCTAAGCTATCTCCGGCGGCGGCAACGGTCGTCCTCTCCCGGCGGCGTCGGAGGAGCCAGGATACAAAGTCGATGGCAAGGGAGCCGAAAACTGCAACACATACGCCCACCGCAATGACACAAGGTGCGTCCTCATCAAAAAATCGGAGTTGGGTCATTTTGATTTCTTTAGTGTGGATATATATATATAGATCGAGCTGAGGGATAGAAGGAAGGAAGGAGGAGAGATATGGTATGATATGATAGAGGGAAAGGGGAGAGGGAGGGAGGGGAATTTATACTACTGGCCGGATATGATGGGGGAGGAGATCGACGTATAGTGCAGTGGAGGAGGGGTAGGTAATATTACCTCCGTCCCAGAGTATTTGTCCACTTTCATTTTTACACACCATCCAATGCACTTCTTTAATCCATTTTATCTTGTAATTTGTATATTAAAAAATTATAGAAATTATATATTAATAATCTATATGTTAAGACAAATCACACATGACTATATTTAGGCTTACACATTGAGAGAATTTGATGAGTCAAAGTGCTTAGATGAACAGTTCCAAAAGTCAAAAATGGACGAATACTCCGGGACGGAGGGAGTAATTAAGTAGCTCTGATCTGTATAGGAAGGAGACTGTATGTATGTATGTATGTACGTACGTACCAGATAGATTGGAATCAATAATGCATGCAGCTTAAAATGAGGGAGGCAAACATCCATATATCAACTTCACCATTCATTATATTTTGGGCTTACTACCTATTTATGCATGCATGCATGTGCTAGGACCCTACAATAATGTTTAATTTCGTTCCATTTTGGGCTTACTAGCTACCTGGCTATTTATGCATGCATGCTAGGTAGGACCACAATAATAAGTGTTTTTGAGAATGGAGGGAGGGAGAAATGGATGAAGAATGTGGTTAAAGTTTGATCATGTGAATAGTAAATAGACAACTTAAATTGGGACGGGAGAGGGAACGTTTCCAGCAACAAACTCTTAATCAAGTTGCATACAAAGTGGGAAAAAACTGTCTGTTTCAATTCTATATAATATGTGATATCTCTCCATCCCCAGGCCACATTCATAAATAAACCAGACATCTATCATATCCCCACTCACAGCTTATAATCGGACCACGCACTCTTGTGTAATAGGATTGGTCCCAAACATGACTTTGACATCTACTTTGAGAACGTGATTAAGTTTTCTCCTATAAATAGCACTTTCATACCTTTTTGCCCATATTTTAATACTAACACTATCCTATATTATTTATTTGGTCATGAATTAAACTCCCTAGAAATTATATATTGCATATTACTGTCTCTGTCTCATTATATTTATCAAATTTGATTTTTCGCCACTAAACCGGTCAAACTTAAGTTATCATTTGTTTAAGAATTACTCCCTCCGTCCCTTTTTCCTTTTCTTGTTTTGACTTTCAACCAAATTAAGGAGCCAAATTTTTTTCATTGACTTGACAATTTTACCCTCAACCCTAATCTAATAATGGAAAGCAAATAGTGTAAAGTAAATTGCATTTAATGTGAAGTGTACTTGTCCAAATGTGTAAAGTAAATTGCATAGGAGTGAATGGATGGATAGGGTAGGTGGAGGGGTTTGGGTTGGTTGGGTAGATTTAATTAGGGTAAAGGGTATTAGGGTCTAAATGTGAGAAAAGTGAAATGCTTTTTGGGACAAAAAAACCCAAAGGAGAAAGATTTTTTGGGACGGAGGGAGTACGTAATACAGAGCATATTATAAATTAGTAAAAAATGATTTTATACTCCGTAAGATTTATTTTGTAAAATATTTAAAAGATTATATTTCACTTTTTCATGTAAAATGTAATAGTAATATTTATTTAATTGATAATCAGGATGATCAAAACTAGTTCAATTTGTATTATGCACTCCCTCCGTCCTTTAATTTTCCTCCCGTTTTAGTTTATGAGGTTTGATTGAGTTTATTTTCAATTTAATTTGTTTTATTATAGGCGCGAAATTAAAAAATAAAAATTATATATTTCAAAACTCCATCAAAAGTTCTACAAAACACATGTAACATGACTATATTATTCTTTGCTTGATTGTCCCAATATCTCCTTTTTACATTTGTATTTTTGACATGCACGAACTCCAATTTAGAGCAATAGCAATGGCGTGCCATTTTAGCCGGCACACTGCCAAATCCGCATATGCCTCACACCATACCAAATCTGCCTCGCGTTCTTTGAGCGTTCCTCCACGGTAAGTGCGGTAGCCTCAAGGCTGCCACGCTTTGTTTTTTAATTTTTTAAATTAGGTTAAAAATTTAAAAAATGACTGTGTAGTTTCTAATTGGTTGAATTGTGCCACATCAACGTGTAGCATTCCGTTATTATTGGACCTTTGAATATACCTGGGAAGAAAAAAAATACTTACAAATTAAAACTAGGTGTAGTAATTATCAATAGAAAATAAATTATATAAACATTATTATCTCAAATTAATAAAAATATAAATGAGATAGAATACACTAATAGTACCATAAGATAGTACCATTGGGCTTGAGGCTTCCACCAAAACCACCCATTTTTCCAGGCTCTTTCTTTTCTTTCTAATGTATTAAATATAAGACTAAATAATTAAGCACACAAACACGTACACATCAGTGTAACGTAACAATTAGGTTTTTCAATTCATTTTATTTAAAGATAAGTATATAAATAAAAAATAAAACTCACATATTTAAAAAGCACATTAAAAATTCTTCAAAACAAGATGTGACAAGAATTTTTTATTTCAATAAATAGTCAATGGAAACACATAATTATACAAAAATTTTCATGATTTTTGAATTGTATAGTGTGTAAATCATTTAGAGACAAATGAAGTTTTTTTTTTTAATTTCTCAATAAATCAATATAGTATGCTCTATGTACATGAAATATTATTTAAATAAATATTCACCGTCACTTGTACATGGCTCAAATACTATTTAAAAAATAAAAAGTTACGTACCAAATTTTAGGGAGTATAGTTTTAGCGCCATATTTTAGAACGAAGAAAGTGGCGCAGCAAAGAAAGCTATGGAGACCGATAAGCGGAGATCGGTGTTGATAGTGGGCGGCACCGGCTACCTGGGCCAGCATCTGCTCCAAGGCTTCACTCAGATTCTCCATTCTCTCCCCTTTCCTCTCTTTCTAGGGTTCACTTACCACTCCAATCCTCCTCCCCAGCCGCTTCTCGATGCCGCCCCTCAATCCGTCCCTTTTCCTCTCGATCTGCGCACTGGAATTGGATTTGATTCCATCTCGCAAACCCTAGGGCAGGTTCGATCTTTCAATTTTCCTTCGCGGTGATTTTTAGTTGATGTTTGCTTGTTTAGATTCTGGATTGTGCAAGTGATGCCGATGTGATTTTTGTGATTAATTATATGCTTAATTGCTCCTTATTTATCTAAAGGACGATCAGATCTCTCATTTTCTTCGTGTTTGTGGTTTTGGTTTTTATTTTCCTCATACTACTCAATATTTATATAAAGTTTGTTGCATAAGAATAGTTGGTGATGGATTAAGAATATACACGAACTCTGCAACACCGGTAGTTTGATTGTTTGAATGCAATAA